CCGTCGGCGTGGTAGGCAAGCACGTTACCGCTAGGACAACGCGCTATTATAATAATAAAATTTCATTAGTAGTATATATATTGCAAAAGTTTCGTTTAAAAAATGTCAAATTGTTCAATTTCATTGCATATCTCCTCGATTATCAAATATTCAGTTTTTAAACAATATTTCGATTGATTTGCCATTAATAAAAAAAAAAATTGGAATTATTTAAAAAAAAAAAAAATGAATGATGCCGGGATTGAACCCGGGCCGCCGGCGTGCCAGTCGAGCACGTTACCACTAGGACAACGTGCCGATTTAAAATTATAAATTCATTAGTGGTATATATTCAATAAATTGAATAATTTTTTCCATTGAAATTCCACGAGATGTGGTTTCCCCCTTCCGTACCTGCTACAGTTGACTAAATTTCAGTTAAACAAATGAAAAACAAAAAGCATTCGTACAGCAGAAAATAAAATTCACCCCGTCGACTTGATGGACACCCCAGCATTGCAATAAAAACTTGGTTAATAAAAAAAAAACACCCCACCATTGCGTGTTGCGCCCTCCCTCTCTTGGGGTGCAGTACTACGATGCCGCTGGGGTCACTCAAACCCCCAGAACTGAGCCTCTACTTTAGTCAATCCTCTTTGGAAATACGTAAGAATTTTTTTTATTTACTTTTTTTTTAAGGCGAAGAAAAAAGGAGAAGAATAATGAAAATAAAGTGTGATAATAAATGTATTATTTGTTAACACCTAACACATGCCGTGAAAGGTTATTCAATAATTATCATATACAATAATTTATATTTCTGTTTTACTAGGAGATTGATGAAATACATAAACTAATTTCAGATGACGATGGAGAAAAAGCGCAAAGTTGGGGAGAACATGGGAAGAAATTCACCAGGGAAAAATCGACGGGATGTGATATCACTTGTCTATGCTTATATTATATATTTAATAATGCTGATAATGCTGATAGTGATGGTCATTGCAAAATGGGAGTCCCGACAGATGGACAAAAATGTGGATTTAGATGAAGGGGAAGAGTGTAGTAAAGTAGTGAGGAAAATGCGTTTTGATTGTCATCCCGAAAATGGTGCATCTGAATTGTCTTGTATAGCCCGAAGATGCTGTTGGGATCCACCAATTGCCCAACATAATGAAGCATACGAGGAAATACAAGTGCCTTATTGCTTTTATCCCCAAAATTGGCATCTCTATCAATACGAAAGAATGAATGAAACCAGTGGAGAATTTGAAGGTGAGCTCAAAAATATAGCATCATCCTTCTACAAAAAGGATATACAAGTTGTTGGCATGAGAGCAACTAAAATTGACAGAAATATTTTGCGGGTGAGACTGGAAAATCGTGATAATCCAAGGTATGAACCAATATGGCCAATTATAAATACTTATCGGAAAAAGTCATCAAATAATGATTCAGATTATGAATTTCATGTGAATAAAATGAAGCCAGGTTTCCAAGTTAGGAGAAAATGGAAAAAAAATTTGATATTCGACTCTCTTTCTGCTGGTGGTTTTATATTTTCTGATCAGTTCCTTCAGATTAGTACTTTGCTACCATCGCACAATATCTATGGTCTTGGAGAGCATCGAAATTCTTTGAAGCTCGATACCAATTGGCAAATATTTACATTATTCAATAAAGATCAACCCCCTACTGAGCATGCCAACTTGTATGGATCTCATCCCTTCTATATGATTGTCGAGGAATCCGGAGCTTGTCATGGGGTACTCTTTCTCAACAGCAATGCTATGGATATTATTCTCCAGCCAACACCTGGTTTAACATTCAGAAGTATTGGAGGTATTTTTGATATATTTTTTTTTCTTGGGCCAACTCCCCATGATGTATTACGTCAGTATTCAAGTATCATTGGGAAACCGTTTATGCCACCATATTGGTCCCTGGGATTTCACCTTTGCAGGTCTATTTTTATACAGTTTATCCATTTTTATAAATTTTTAACACCACTGAATTTACCCAATTGAATTTATTCAATTCAGACTTGGATATGGATCTTTGGAAAAAACTCGTCAAGTATGGAATAGAACTAGAGCAGCCGACATTCCATTTGTATGTTAAGTTCATTTAACAAATTACAAATTAATTCTTTCAATAAAATCATTGAATAACATTTTCTTAATATCAATAATAATAGGATACACAATGGAATGATCTCGATTATATGAAAAATAGCAATGATTTCACGTATGATGATGATAAATTCAAAGGCCTACCGGAATTTGTCCAAGAGATTCATGGGGTATGTGAAAAATAATTAGGTGAAATATATAATTTTAATATTATAATACATCCTGCATTATAACTATCCCGGAAAATTGTAAAAAATTTAGGTAGGGATGCATTATATTCCTCTTATCGATGCTGGAATCTCAGCGTCAGAAGGTAATAATACCTACCCTCCCTACGATGAAGGAGTGCATCAAGACATATTTATTAAAGATTTTTATACGAATGCTCCATTTATTGGCAAAGTTTGGAATCGTGTCTCCACTGTATGGCCCGACTTCACTCATCCAAACATTTCTCAATATTGGTATATTATGATGAATAATATGCATGGGCAATTCGAGTACGATGGAGTCTGGATTGTAAGCGAAAAATGAAATAAAATAAAAATCATTCCGTTTTATTACTCCATTACTCCAATTGTCATTTTTCACATTACAGGATATGAATGAACCGTCAAATTTTTATAATGGTCACATCAATGGCTGTATTCAAAATACCTTTGACAACCCACCATACCAACCCAATGTAGTTGGCAATTTATTGGCTACTAAAACATTGTGCATGAATGCTAAACATTTTGGAGGATTGCATTACAATGTCCATAATACCTATTGTATGGGAGAGGCTGTAGCAAACTATAGGTTAATAATTCAAGGAAAATAATAATATTCAGACAAATAAAATTTCTAGAATGGATGCTTTTTTCAGGGCAATTATTAAAATAAGGCGGAGACGTCCATTCATTGTGTCTCGTGCTACTTGGATTGGTCAAGGTCATTATTCGGCACATTGGACCGGAGATGTGTATTCAAGCTGGTAACATTTTCATCCCCTCAAATCCAACCATTGTATTCATCAAATGTGAAAATTCATATTTTTAGTGGAAATCGGCTGATTTTATAGATTGTTGTTATTCATTCGGATAAAACAATTTCTCTTGAATTAGGCATGATCTTCGAATGAGTATACCAGAGATTTTGCAATTCAGTCTTTTTCAAATCCCGATGGTTGGAGCTGATATATGTGGATTTGATGGAAATACCACAGTGGAATTATGCAATCGTTGGATGCAAGTTGGTGCTTTTTATCCATTCTCTCGTAATCACAATTCAGATGATACAATTGTAAATACATTATGATACAATATTCAATATCCCTTGGTAGAGTTTATTGAGTATGCTTTTTGTGTGAATATAGGAACAAGATCCAGTTGCATTGGGTGATTTAGTTATTGAATCATCGAAAAAAGCATTGATGATAAAGTATAGATTATTACCATACCTCTATACATTATTCTTCATGGCTCATTCATCCGGTTCGCCAGTTCTAAATCCCTTATTTTTTTTGTAAGTTCAGTATTGAATTTTCTGATAAATAACCGAGAAGAAAAAATATATGGTTCATCCATCACTTTTGCACATTTGCAGATATTGGGAGGACAAAAATACGTTGGATATCGATAGGCAATTTCTATGGGGCAAGGGTTTAATGATTGTGCCAGTTCTCGAACAAGTAAGCTCAATATAACTTTCCTTTTTTCAAGGATATGTATATTAAATATTTTTTTCCAATTAATTAGACAAATTATACATTGAAAAGTCGTAAAAAATAATAAGAATTTGTTCACGGATTTCTTTGTAACAGGGAAAAACCGAAGTAAAAGCTTATTTACCGAAAGGAATTTGGTACAACTATTATAATAACACGGGAATTATCTCAACCGGACAATGGTTTGTATTGGAAGCTCCATTAGACACTATTCCACTATTTATTCGTGATGGAATTATCATACCAGCTCAAGCTCCAAGTCAAACAACCGCCCAAAGTCGAAAAAACAAATTTGAATTAATTATTACAATTTCGCATCCGTCAAACGAAAATCCATCAGGATCACTGTTTTGGGATGATGGCGATAGCATAGATTCTATAAATACTCATAATTATCTTTATGAAAATTTTGAGGTAATTGATGGTAACAAGTTAATAAACACATGGCCAAATTATAATCCAAATATTCAAGAGGCTGTGATTCTAGGGCAAATTGAAGTTTTGGGATTGGCGCGGAGTGTTAAAAATGTTACTGTCGATGGACAGGAAATTGATACATTTACGTACAATGAATCTACGAAATATCTTCTTATCACAAATTTGCACATTGATTTGAGTAGAAAATTTCAAGTCATGTGGTAGATTCATTTTTTAATTAACAATACATGCACAACACCTTGTTCAATTATTAAAATTGTGTATTTTTTTTTTTTTTTTTTGCAAATTACACTCCATTACACAGTACATTTATAGTAAAGTCTCAATATTTATGGCACCAAAAAAGCAATGATAATGAATAAATATAGTTTAACTATCTTTTTTTTTTTCTACTACTAGTTACTCTATATTAAATTTCAATTTAATCAGGGACTTTGTGATTATTATCTTTGGCGTGAAAACTTGAAACACAACGCAAAAACGTTCGTCACAGTCAAGTCAAATATTGCTCTAGATGACCTCGATCTTTATTCAATATACAAACATGACCTCCTTTTCTCCTCGTATCGATTCTGAACATAGGAATTATTATTTGCATTCTTTTCCATAGATGTATATATATTTGCTTTTTCTTTCATCTGTTTCTCCGCTTCAAATATCTAAAGGATTTTCCGATATAATTAAACCATTTGACAATAAATTTAAACGATATGAAAGAACAAACAATTAGATAATGATGTCAATTATTTTTATAGTACATAATAATAATGTTGATTATTGATACGCAAATCATTATTATTGTCTTCCCACATTTGCTTTTTATTGCTATCTAATTATCGCAGTGATTTTGCCTGAAATTTTAACTGCTTATATTGAGTAGACCATTATGTAATTGTCATGCAATAAATTTTCATCAATCGAATATGATTAATAATTGGCTCTAGCTAAATGACATATTATAACAATAGTCGTAAAACAAATAATGTTTTATTATGGAACCAAACCCCACGGACTTTAACATTTTTTATTCTACTTATTTGCTTAGTCACTCTTTTTTTTTTTTTCATTTATGACAGACAAAATGGCAAGCAATCAGTCTACTAAATAGGGCTATGGCAATAATGAAAATTTTCTCTGCTATGAGCATATAATTATAGAGTAAACAATTCATCAATTTAAATGGTAACAATAACAATAGATTAAATATTATTAAATAATGAAAAAAAAAAACAATTGGATAGTAAAAATCTTTGGCTAATAAATAAATAATGAATATTTATTGGAAATTATTAAAGCAATACTCTAGGTGGTAGTGAGTGTTTCAAGAATTTCTTCTGGAGTTTTATTCATTTTCTTGAATGTCTGCCAGTGTTCTTTGGGTACGGTCCATTCAAGAAAGGTCTCAAGATTTTTTTTCAACGTTTGAAGCTCACTCAATTGGCCTGAGTGAAGCTTGATAGGATCCTTACCAGCAGATATCAACGAATCTTGAAGAATTTCATCGATAAGTCTCTTACCGAATCCAAGTTCATCAAGACGTTCAGGTTTAGAAATCCTTTTCAATAAGACTGCCAGAAGTAATCGCATTCTTTCCAAAGTCATATTTGTGAATTTACTAGGATCGGTCCTTACATTGGTCTCACTAGCACTTTCAGTTTTATCTTTTCCTTCGATGATATGTGGACCGTGGCAAATTTTTTCATGATTTTCAAGATCATTCTTCTTTTTGAAAAAATTATTGCAATTTTTGCAGCTATAGGGCTTAGTTCGTTTATGAATACATTTCATGTGTTTCTTCCAATGTGGCAATTGTGTAAATCCGACATTACACTCTGTGCACTTGAAGGGTCTTTCTCCAGTGTGTCTTCTGGTATGAAGTTTCAAAGCTGTTGAATGAGCGAATGCTTGCCAACAAACAAGACACCTAAATGGTCGCTGTCCCGTATGAGTTCTTTGATGTACAGTTAATTGGGATTTCTGGGCGAATTTCTGGCCACAAGTTGAGCATGCATGGGGCCTGTCGTGCGCATGTGTTCTCATATGCTGTGGCAAATGACCCTTGAATGTTTTGTTGCATATAACACATAGAAATGTTTTAAGATCTTTGTGTAAGCACTCGAGATGTTTCTTGAGTGCATCACGCCTAATAAATCCCTTTCCACATATTGTGCATGTATGATCCTTCTGATTATTATGGCGCTTCATGTGCAGAGCAAGGTTTGCCGCACAGGTAAAAGTACCCGTACAGAGATTGCAATGATAAGGCTTTATTTGGCTGTGTGTGCGTCGATGCTGGGACAATTGACCCCCTCGAGCAAAGCTCTTGCCACACTCTGTGCATTTATACGGCTTAAATCCTGTGTGAGTTCGAACATGAAGTTTCAAACGTTCTTTCAATGGAAATTCTTTACCACAATCATCACATTTATATAATGGCCCGGCTGCATGTACCACTTTATAATGATTCCTCAAGCCTCCGCTACCTTTGAATTTCGCCTCACACATCATACAGTTATACTTTTTCAGCTCTTTCAATTGTTCCTCACCTATTCCGTTTAATAAATCATTCTCTTCCATCATCCCCCTCGCTGATACCTCATCTTTACATCCCTCTAATTCTCTCTTATTCAATTTTTTGCCAGTCCCATTATTTTCGCCTAGAAGATAACTCGCTTGAATTATTACATCGATATTGAGTCGTAACTCTTGTCCTTCTTCATCTTTTGTGGAAAAATCTTCGGAACTTACATCCCCCACTAATTTATTTTGCAATGATTTATTCTTTTCCGCGTTCAATTCATCAAATTTACCATTTAATATATGGGCATTAACACTACCTACAGGTGATCCATCAGAAGTTATTTGATTTTCTTGGTAAAAATAGTAGACTTCATCTTTCGGAAAATCATTGTTTCGAAATTTTCGCATTTTCCCATTGGCCACTTTGATATTATTTTCTTCGCCTTTATCATAATTAATTTGTTTGTCAGCTGCATCGAATGACTCCAACTCATTATCTTCATGTGTAAAACTGCGAAGCACTTCAAGTCCATCTGTTGTATGCTGATCTTTGTCGGTTCTTGTATGCTTTATTTTCGATTGTTGAACAGGTACAAGTTCAGTCAACTGAATTTCCTCCTGTGAATGTTCAGTCTCAGAGACCTCCCCCAGTGTTATTTGGTGCGTATTAGTCATTTTATTTTATTCTTAGTTTCTTCGCCGCTGCGGCAACCGCCAACTATCTCTCTCTCACCGATTTTCCTTTATTCACATAGTGCATCTTTATATTTATGGGTGAACTCGAGAGGTTCATTCAAGAGACTTACTCAACTTTTACTGGGCGATCATTGACCATACAACGAGGATACTTAGATATGTGAGATGTAGTCGCCTCTTTATAGAGTATAGTGAATAATAAATAACAATAGATATTCAGATAATCAATAATAATGCAGTACGAGTGAATAACCATACACTCTCCACTTTTTAAGCTCTAATTTGGTTTTTCTTTTTTTAAACTCGATGGCACGAAACGAAAAAAATATATATATACACTCTTTTGTCTCTTATCATAGAGTGACGGTTCCACACATTGATGAATAAGCAGGCCACGCACGTGCAAGTGAACACTCAAGTGGGAGACGTGGGTGAAGCCTAAAGTTTTATCGGAGCGGAGTAATTGCTGTATTGCCAGTAATTTTTTTTCTTTCCTCTTTGTATAGATATCCAAGTAGAAACGCATCGACCATATGTTTTCTTTTTTTTTTAATCTTAAATCCTCGGGCTGCTCTCTGCTGGCATTGGAATCACCCAGAGACGCTTGTAGAATGTTATTAAATAAGTTATTGGACTAAATTAATCATTTTAAAGGTGTGAACATTGACGAAGCATTAGAGTCTCATCGATACTGGGATAATTGAGAGAGACTCATGTGAGTAAACACTGAGTGAGAGACCAAGAGGCCGAGAGGTAGAAAGACCGGCAGGTAGGTAGGTAGGTAGGTAGGTAGGTAGGTAGGTAGATAGGTAGTTAGGTAGGTAGGCAGGTAGGCAGGCGTTGGAATCACCCAGAGGATGTAAATGTTCTGGCTGGATATTCACTTGAAGCACGACCGCACGACTGAATTGACCACGAGAGAGCTTGCGTGTTGCTGGCTGATTGTATCCGTGTTTGTCACACAATTCCGCGCTTTTTTTTGCGCATGCGCACTGAGCCGGTCGATATTTGTTGATAGTTAACAGATACTTTCATAGTCTAAAGGACAACTATCAATTGAAACATACTGAGTAGTTGCGTCCCTCCTGCCTACCCCTTAGCCCCTGCTCCACACGTGGTCCTTGTCCGTGATTTTTCCCAATATTCACCAATTTAATTGTCACTTTTTCCATATCTTTTAAATATATATTACCTCATTATATAGACGCTTACAGAGGCTTATGTCTAGCACGTGGGGATCTAGTATCGCCTACATTGAACTTGGAATATTCAGTATTAACAGCAGGCATTGATGTCGCTTGGATAATTTGATAAAATAACTCTGTGCTTCTACTTTTAGGCTTGCGCCAATTTTTCATTTTGATCAATGCACTTTATACATTCCGTGGCTCCTAATGCTATAAAAGTATATTTAATCGCGTCTAGCTTGTTCGGCTAGTAGCCGCACCTAATAAAACGACATCCGCTTTGCTCCAAGAGGCAGTAAAGTCAAACTACTAACGACAACTTAAATATGTTAGTATATGATTTTTTTTCATTGATAACGGTGGAATTATAGTATTAGAACACAGTCCAATGGAAAGGGCCCATCACCACCTGAAAGAAATATTTCACAAATTGTCCTTTCTGTTAACCATCACCATATTATTAAAAAAACCATTGAGAGAAAAGCAATGGAACAGTCTTTAATCAATCGAACCCAATACATGGATTATAGATAGGAAATATAGATAAGGGCGTGTTTTAATTAAATTTCAATGAAATTAATTAACTTGCCAAAAAAATATACTATATATTATTTAATTTGAGAATTTTTACTCGAACGTGCTTAATATGAAGAGGAGTGGAGTATCCATTGGGTAGTTAACTTTAAAATGTCCAAATTTTTGTATAGTCTCAAAGACATCTGTGCGCATTGAACTTCCCAATGAAGACTCTCGGTACCTCTAACTCTAAAATACACTGCTTCTCCGTAATGACTCTACGCATCAAGCGAACACCCTCATCTCTACTTATTATTTCGTACCCAAAGCTCCATGACCAGCAAATAGATAATTATCAAAATTACTTGACGTACTCACCAACATGCTCGTATCTTTCTATATTTCACAATGACTATTTTTGACTGGGATAAATACACGTATGACATGACATGTAATTCGCCATCTTTAATCACCATTGAGACTCATGAATGAACACGTCGCGCTCGTGCTAAAGCGTTATTTCTCCATGGAAGCGCGCGGCCGCAAAGGAAGGGAATTGTTGATGGAATGAGGAAATGTTAGCAGAGTAACTGCAAGATGGCGCCTTGGTTAGGTTACTGTAATGGCTGTCCAAGCATGAGCCTTCAAAATCGAGGTAAGATGTGAAAAGTAGAATTGAAGAGGCACTCGATATACGTATGTACACATGCACACATTGAATATTTGGTGAGCATTGAGTATCAAGTGTGGTTGTGTTGTTGGCTGAGTTGACAGAGGAGTAGTGTAGAGTAGAGTAGAGTGGAGTGGAGTGAAGTGAAGTGGAGTGGAGTGGAGTGTAGTGTAGTGTAGTGTTGTGTAGTGTAGTGTAGTGCAGTGCAGTGCAGTGCAGTGCAGGTAGTGTGGCCAGTGGCGGCCGAGTATATACACATATCTCAATCCTCACCCGAGGCCCTTTTTCCAACGTTACTATTGTTTCGCTACTTTACTATCATCTACTCATCAATGTTAATAGTCGAAGATAATATTTGAGAGCTTAAGTGTTCAAATCCGAATCTTCAACTCCAACTTGTTCAGTTTTGTATCATTGACACACTCACTCAATACTATTAGTTTCAACGCAAATGTGACAGTTGACATTTTGCTATTGGCCTACAAACCAAATGTTCAATAATTATTTCTTTTATTTATTTGAGTGCCACCAATTACGTGTCGCATAAAACGTGAAATCCATGGAAAGTCAAAACATGACTATTCTCGCTCGTATGGAATACGCTCGGTAATTTTTCTTTCACTTGATTGATGGAGCCATTCTCATAAGCAGCATCCCTTGGAAAACAATACTACTCTGCTGGCGTCTGTCGGTGATTACCATACAGGTATTTATATATTTCAAAGAATGATTTAACATTTGAAAATACCCAGCATTTTCGTCATGACCGGTACATTGGTGATGATAATGATGATGATGCTGATGATGATGATGATGATGATGATGAGGAGGAGGAGGAGGATAAGGATAAGGATAAGGATAAAGATGATAACCGTACATACAGTTCCATTTTAATGACTCTTGTATGAATTCATGTTCTTGAGGATAAATGAGAAACAATGTACGTTAACATATCGAAATGAGGAGTATAATGAGTGATTTCGTTTGATTTACAGCAATAATGAGCTCCAATTATCTTTCATCGTTCCCTTCTACTTGCCTTGTCCACAGTAAAAAAAAAAAATAAGTATTGCATAATAATCTATTTGGTTAAGTTCATTGGATTAGCCGCCAAATTGAATTCGCTTAGAGTCTCGAGCAACTAGATCTCGAGCAAGTCTCTGTCTCACCCTTATTCCTAATATTTTTCATTGGACCATACAAAAATCTCAATATTTCAATCATCAAGCTTTATAAATCTACTGCTTTTAATATTCAATAAAGCAATTCAGAATAGTGCAAAACATCCCAATCAATGGTAATTTTCATTTATTTAGATATTATGTTAAAAATGAATAAAAGCAATTACCTCGGATTGTTAAAACTCTGAGATAAACCCTGGCAGCCGCAAAAGGATTCGATTGCCTCTCTTATAGAGGCTGAATCCATCAACACTATATATATACTTGACCTAGGCCAGAGTAAATAAACCCTACGTTTGTCCAATATTTTTCTGCATATCCGTCTTATTTTTTCTTTTATTTCTCTCTTTAATTAGCATAAAAAAAAATTAAAATAATGCTCATTGCTGGTAATTTGGGTCTTAAGTTGAGGGACACTGTGGCTCGCATGAGTTTCATTAATTTGCCGCGCCTGAAGCTTTATCCCGCACAGATACCTTCATGTATAGTACTCACCGCTTTTTAGCTCCTCTCTGAGGGATAGCAATCTACCAAGTACATTTCATTTATCAAATTTAACTGATAGGTTTTATAAATTTTTCCCAAAAATGACATTATGCTCGCTCTTCATTTACACACAAAGCTGCAAAAATTTATCATTTTTACACATTGGCAATACATTTTACAATTGCAATAGTTGCAATACTTGCAGAAAATTATAGCTCAAAAAATGCAATTAAATCCAATGGATAATGCAAGTTAAGTGATATTCATATAGAATTAGAGAAATAATATGAAAATTTCTGGAATATTATATTGCATAGAAATAAATTGGTCGATATCTAAAGGAAAAGTGTATTCACTTGGTATAGAATGGAGATCTGACCAACAACGGTACTTGCCGAGTTTCCCACGGCTTCGGGCTCGTCCTTCATGTAGAGGCGCACGTTCTTCTATAAATATATAGGGGCAGAAGGGGAACCAATCTATACGGAAGAGAATTTTGGTAGAGAGAAATGCACTAAAGTCCAGCGATATTTTCAATTGATGATTAGTATTTTATGATTATGATTTATGAATATAAGTTGAGAAAAAGAGGGAGAATAAGTAGATTTAGGGATGAGTGGGCGTAAATTTGCTAACTTGTTGACTTCCGTAAAGTAAGATCCGGAGACATGTTACATAAGACTCGGTGATGACGCCCGCGATGAGACATCCTAGTGTAAGGTGAACAGGAGGGTGAGAAAAAAGAGGAGAGGAGAGGAGAGGAGAGGAGAGTGAGAACCCCTGAGAGCGTGTACCGGTTGTTCCACTCATGGAATGCGGACCATCGTGTGTGTCTACGTACAACGGAATGGCTCATCTCTCGTCTCGTTGGTTACAATTATTACTGTCCAATATGCGCGCGCACTACTCATTTTCATAGACATTTTTCTATTTAAAAAATGCCTATCCCCCATCAATTCAACTCATTATTTATCGAATGATTGTCCAGTGTAAATATGCTTTTATTATTGCCATGTGCTTTTTTTATACCTCATTTTTTTTTCAATAACAAAAATTCAGTCTGGGATTTAAAGCATCATAGGAATTCATTACTGATAGTATCGACGGATAATGGTGCGCATTCGCTTAATCTGAACAATCGGAGGAAGTTGACGTTTATAAATATACAAGAGCTCGTAAGAAACTGTCAATGGGAATGTTATGCTAAACACCTTCGGCATGAACATATTTAGCATATAACAGAGAGGATACTTTTCAACTTTGGAATTAATAAGACAAAGAGTGTGCTTGACGTGTTTATATTTGTAAATGGAGCAAAATTAAAATCTCCCATTCATTTGAAATGCAAATTTTTTCATTTTATAAAATTAGATTTTTTTTTTCCATACGCATAAATTTTTTTTGAATAATTCAAAGCAATGGAATTGCATGGGAATGAATAGTTTCCTGTTGTTTCACTAATATTTTCAGAGATGAGTTATTGAGAAATTGAAAAGAACATTCTATAAAAGAATGCCGAATGCAAGACACAAAAAGCACGAAAAAAAATCTATCCAAATTGTTGAATAATTTTATCTTGGCAGAGAGACGATGATTATTTGGGCAATAAACATGAATTGTGACATCCGTCTATAACATTCACCTTCCACGTCCCTTCTCGCTGATTAAGTGGTAATTTGCGGTTAATCAGAGCCCTAATTGCCGATAGACAAGAATCTTCGTCGTCAGAGCGGCAATATGTGCGTGTGTATGATCTCCGACACGTGCATGCTCTACATGCAGATAGATAGCTGATCCCCCTAGATCAGCTATCTCTGGGGGCCAATAATGCCCATCATTCTAGATTCATGTCTAACCTTCTATTGAAATCTAATTATTCATGTATCATAGAACGAATTTATTATTTATAATTCTTCATGTATCTCACTCTCCATATTATGTATATCAGCATGTAGGAGGACTAGATTGCGTATATCTTGAGACATGGAGATATTTCAGACATGAATAATTAAGATAATGGCTACTTTTCGAGTGAGATCCGTGCTGAGGCTCGATACGACTCGCAATAGCGTCTCTCTGGCGCGCCGATTAGAGTCACGAAAGGGGAAATAAATGTTATTTCTTCAATTTCCAAGCTTCACTATTTATACCTATTTCTTTCCAGCATTCTCATGTACAACGCATATTATTTTCTATTGATAACGCATTTTTTTTTTTAATTTTTCAGGCGCCTAAATTTTTAACGGAGATAAAATAAATTAAATGATGTCAATCTCCTTCCATATATATTGCGATTTTTATCGTTGATTTTTCCATTTCAAAACTTTCTTTCTCGTATTTTCTCATCTCAACAGTGGGAAACTGTCGAAGATAAATGATAAGGGCAATTTGAATTTTCACATTTGATTCTCCTCAGTGACAAAAAAAATCTCATCATTTATTATTTTTTCTCATTTTTTTTTTCATTCTCAAAAAAAAAAAACAATAAAGGCCAAAATATGTTGAACAAGATCCGCTCATTCAAGACAATGCATCAATATCAATATATCTCTTTCATTTTTTCCCCTGTTTTTTTTTTTTTAGACAAATATAATATTAATGGTGGAATCATAAAAACTTGAGAACCTCAATTGTATACTTGTCGCCTATTCATCAGTCGTTAGTAATTTATTCACACGATTGAGAAATAACTAGTTGAGCCAGCCCCTCTCCCCCTTCATTCACAGTAGGAAACAACTCACTTGGAAAACGATACCACGTATTTATTTTAATTTTTTCTCCCTTCACAATTAAATTTAATAAATGCGGTAGGAATAATTGAAAATAGTGAATATGCCTTGAATATGTGATATTTTGTTAATCTCCTTGCGTATCTGATTAGTAACAAGATGTTGGTTGGTTACACAAGGAATTGGACCCCTCCCACTTTGACGATGTGTCGCTCTATCTCAACCAATCCACGTAACGCCTGATAACGTCGCCATAATTAGCTGGATTTGTTAATCGGTCCATAAGCAACACGAGTATGGTGAATGAACAGTCACGAGCATCACTTCTTAGTATCATTCATGTTTATTCGCATTCGGTGTCAGTCGGAAATTTTCCATGTCAAAATAATTGTTGTTTTCTCGGAAATTTTTTGAAAATAAAGTAGTAAAGGAACTTGCTGAGAAAATTCAGTGACATTTTTTTCGAGTTGATAACTGGAGTGAAGTGAAACGAGCTCTAATAATAATAGAGAAAAAGTGATCTTTGAGTTTTCAAATCGATCAATTGGGTGAGAAACTAAACACCGTAGTAATTTTTTAATCAATGCAAATAGTAGTTTACAGACTATTTTCATTTGAAATCATGTGGTCCGTATAGAGAAAGTTTTGTATTTCCTTCAAGCTCTTTTATTTTTAAAGCAAAATGTTGCTTCTCTATTTATGTTTTACAGGGGTTTTTATTTTTGAATGCTTCAACTTGGAAATTTGAATACCAAATACATTGTCCTAAAGACACCTCCAGTTGACACGGAGCCTCGTCACAACATGATTTCCGTTTCAACAATGAAGGACCCCCACACTGATTCGTTTAATACACTCGTGTTAGATCTTCGAATCTCCCCTTTGATCCTATCCCATTGTCATAAACAATCTAATTGTGCCTAACAGTATAGCGTTTGTGTATAGAATCGACAAGTTTATTGTAAAGTTGGAGGAATTTCATTAGCATGTCTATTCAACTTCTTCACTTCTATTTAATGCCGCTAAAAATACATTTTAATCGCAGTACAATATGATGAAAGGAAATGGTGATCTTGCCAGCGAAAGTTTACTCCAGCTTTACGACTATTTGGTGATTGTATTATTTTGATGATTCGTAGTGACATTATTTTTTGCGTTTGCAATATTGGAATATAAAACTACATGTATTTATGCAATTTTCCGATGTATTTGAGAGTTGTATGATAAGTTCTTCTCTATTACAGTGAATACATGTAAAATCTCAGATGATGTTATTATTTTAATGGCCTTATCACTCACTGCTCTCCGTCATGCTTATCGTGAATTTTTACGATTGTGTAATGGACTTTAGATATTCATGAGTATCTGGAACGTCCAAGTCATGCGAGGAATTGTACACCGAGTATCCAAATGTCATTAAATTTTTTATTAGCATATTGTTGATTAATGCAGCTTCAAGAGCACTCATTAAAAATACCTGAGCCATATTATTATTATGGCTAAAATTTCGTTTCGATAAATGATATTTTATGATTTTAAATTTATACAAAATGATTGTTGAAGGATGGTGTTAGTAGTAAATGGGGTACTCCAAGAGGAGCCTCCCGCAGACAGCAGATCTTTGTATTTAGCCCATCCGGTGTATAGAGAATCTGCAGCACAACTTCACTCGATGCCAGCTAAATTGGTGGGTCCAGTTGGTCTGCTTTACGTCCAACAACGAGAAATGGCTGCAACTCTTCCGCATGACAGTGTGTATTACAATTTAGTCATTATAACAAAGCCACCCTTTAAATTTCACATTGAAATTTTTTTTATTGCAGAAAATGTGAGTATACTCGGCTCAGATGACATGACCACGTGCATTATAGTTGTCGTCAAGCATTCAGGTGATTTAAATTTTCCTCCTTTCATCAACACCTTTTTATATAATATTGTATTATTTAATTGATTTAATTGATAAATGAAAGGATCGGGGGCGGTGGCGTTGGCACATCTCGATGGAGCTGGGGCTGAAGATGCTGCTACTGCGATGGTCCAGAGGGTAACCGAATTGGCCATGGGATTCCCTGAGGGACGGATTGAGTTGCAACTCGTTGGAGGTTACTCGGACCCTCGCAATTATTCTGAAGAGCTTTTTTTCAATATTCTTTGTATGCCAAACTCTATTTATTACTATTATTAATATTTATTTGGAATAAAAAATTTATAATTTTCATTGTAATACAAAATTATACGTTTCAGCGACGTTCCACAAGCAACCTATTGAAATTGATTTAACACTGTGCTGTGTTGGTGAATTGAACACGACAGCAAGAGGTGGTATCCATTGGCCTGTCATTTACGGAATTGGACTGAATGTCAAGACTGGTGAAATATTTCCAGCGACATTTCCCGACAAGGGACCCGATCAAGCTTTGAGATCCGCTAGGCATCTGACAGGTGGCCAACAGGTCAGTCCAATTTCATTTTTATCCACATTTATCACTATAATCAATATTTCATTGTAGGTTTTAGATGTTTATGACTGTAGTCTAGGACTTTTGAGAATTGGCCCTTTCAATTACGATCCTCTTCGTGGTGTCGATCTGTGGCTTGCGCAATCGGATCAATTCATTCTGCAGCATCTTTCCACTTCACCCGATGTAGAACCACCACATTTTGTTTCACAGGTGGAAAACTACATATTCAACCGTTTGCTCTAACCAATTTACCATTTTTTTTTTTTCTTAGCTATCTATGTTTTTCTTATTTACAGATAAGAGCAACTCTTAAGTACATTCAAGACAACCAATTTCCAGCTGTTACGGTGTTTCGAGATAATAGGCCGCATTATTACCGCCGAGATGAAGCAACTGGAGTTTGGCAACCAATTCGTTATGATACTAATTTTTAGATGCCAACGTAAATGTTGGAAAATAATGGAAAATGTTGTACATACTTGTTCAGTCGCCGGGCTTGCCAGCACACTAATTATTTCATAAATCTTTTACTTTTCATTGAAAATTAACATGGAGTGTAGTGATCATCTTATGTGAAGTGATGCATAGGACTCATTTCAATGATAAGCTATCTGTATCTGTGAAAGACAAGAATGAAATTATTCATAAGATATAAAGAGATATATTTTCACTATACATTAGGAGCGAAAAGTTATCAAGAGTTGAACGATATAGATATAATGATTTTTTTTTTATGTGGCAAAGATTAATTGAAAAACATGTTCAATAACTAGGAAAGAAAAAAAAAATCTCCATGAATTATCCTGTCTCTTGAATTTTTCACATTCGTCCTGAGATAAACCAAGGAAATGGCAAACAAGACAGCAGAAAAAAGCTGTAGAGGGTATGCATAAAATATATGGTTTTGAAGGGAAGGGAAACTATAGTTAGATTGCCACAATATTATATACAATAATTAATGACTTATAGAGCATTGTTGTTGGCCAATGACCGATTTACAATTTGTTTTCTATGTGAAGTGATTAGAAGAAACACGATGGTGATTTTAATCACATAATTTGCTCTGTGGTTCTTGTTGTGCAAAAGCGCTCATATTTTATACAACCATTTGGTGATATATTTATATATGAATAGAAATAAAATGATGATAAAATGTCTTGAATGTGCAAAATTATTTCTTGGTTGCAGTGAATAGATAGAGATAGTGTAAATATCGAATCATTTGTTCACCTGGGATAATTAATGATACTGGAGAAATTTTCTATCGACGCGTATTAATGAATTGAGGGGCACGGAGGCTTGGAAATTGAGGATGGGGGGAAACAATGAGTGATACGATCGGTGAGGCTGGGAGATGCGAGCGACAAGAAAAGCCACGATTCTACAGTAGCCCTTGAAGATAATACCCCAGACGTCGATCAATCTTATACCTGACATTTCACAGAGCGCAAGCTTACTCATCAATCTTCCCCACATCTGAGATGCACACCATCATCTGGCCAATTAAACCATTCAAATACAGTACACAGCACATGGCATTGAATTGGATAAAATTTGGAAAAAAACGTGGTGAAATCTGTTGAATGACATTTTTTTTTTGTCATCTGTAACGCAATTAATTAAACCATGGGGAGCCAAGGGGGTTGAGGGGTTTAATGAGATTGAACGCTATATTAGGGCGATGATAATAGCACCTGACAAAGTGAATATTCACGTTTGAGTTGAAATATCGGCGCATGGCCTGTGTAGTTTTAAGGGAAAACGCTTGGAGTTGGGCATTGTAGATCGTGGATGAGAGAAACGAGAGGACGAGAAGCGTCGGGACGCTCAGCATAGTGTAGTCAGTACAGTGCCGCACCATCGACAGATCACAACACACCTTGCCTCGTCCTCCTCCTTATTCTATATCTTCAATATCATTCTTTAAACCGCAATATCAAAATCTTCCAAATAGTGACATTCTAATATCGCCCATTCAACCATTATTTCTATGGTACACTTATATCAATATAATAATATTCATTCTATTCAAATGGCATTTTGCTTCAAGTGTTTTACCGTTTCAATTGTCACAATTTAAAGTCGGTGAGTTCATTTTATATTTTATCTACAAATCAATGGAAATTGCTTGAATATCATGTGTTTTTTATATTAAATTTGTGTGTTTAGAAAATTAACAGTATTTATTAGGGAGTTAATGAGCTCGGAGATGAAATTATTAAAAACAACTCCAAACAACAATTCTGCGTGAATTTCTTATGATTAGCCAAATACAAATTGAATAATTATCCATGCAGTGGAAATGTTATATCGATGAAAATATATAGGTATTTTAAAAAGATTAGCCGGCTTTATCCTATGTCACGTTTTTATTCACTAATTATTCGCGCATACGCTGCTTTGATATTCATGAAAAACTCTCGTGGGAAAATCCCATTTCTAAAGGATCTACGAAGAAAAAAAATGCTTTTTAAAGTAAAAATTAGAGGGATATTTGCGTCGAACTGAGTACATTTCACCTCAAGGGCAAGTGGAAATTTTCACATGGAGAAACCTATTTCGTCGAATAAAAATTCTTCCATAATGTAATAAATTAATCAACTTGGTAGATATGATTTTTTTTTTCATCATGATCGAATGGACTGGTAATTTTTATATTCCTCTTCATTTCCTTTCAAGGAGATTGAATAGTGCTTGATAAAAGTTGAAATTTCTGTGCTGTGCAACTGCATCGCTTTACACTGATTTTTTTTTTCCTTCCAAGTAAATATACAAAGTTAATTTCACTGAACAATATCCTGCTTACGCGTGTTAAAATTCAATTACTCGAACGGAAGCCATCTGAGGAAGCGCGTCTCTAAAAGACGAAGACGTTTGCATGGCGTTTGCAGCATTCATCCTTGAGCATGGGCACTTGGGAAAACACTAGTTTTCTCGTAATTTTTTGGTTTTCCCATGGTAAAAAGCGTCCGACGGACAGAATAAGCGAGGAATATTTCATCAATAAACAACTGAAATAGTCGAAAAATGACCAAATGCGGCAATCTCCATTATACAGAATGAACCTGAGCTTTCATTAAATCCTGGTAGGGTGTTTCTTTAGAGGGAATATCGACCTCTGCCAGTCCCTCATCTACTTGACTACACCATAGTAGTTGCTCTAAAATTTCCTATTACCACTTCATCACGGGGTTCTATGCCGTTCATGAGTGTGTAATTGCATGCGACTGTTGTTTTATTTGACAATATATGCATATATAGAGAGCAACTTGGACGAGAAACAGGATTACAACAAAGAACCGTATTTTCAATTTAATTCCCCAGCTGAGTTGGAAGAAAAAAAGAATTTCCAAAACTAATAATGTTCAATTGAGTTGAGTTAACATTTTCAATAGACAATTATTATTGTAAATGTGCGGTTTTAAGGAATAATGATGTTTCGGAGGAGAATTGATGAGTGACAGGATGAGACAAAGGATGATTCTCACCCTAGGGGTGTTGTACCTAGAACGACGGCGCGACCTCGTGGAGCCTACGCCCCGCAAGCCACATTCAATAGATATATGTATACATTGATTGTCGGTACTCAGACCAAACCAAGTATTAACGCCTTCGAATATTAGACTAGATTCCATATGTTATAATTTTTCATCGCCCTCCATTCAATCCAATAATAAACAATTACATGAACTATCGGTTTGAAGGAACGACGACCGAGCATTGAGATAAACCAAAGCAAAAGACCATTTGTACCAGCAGATGATTGCTTTCAGGGTTTGTCAAAAAATTCAGGATTAAAATTATGTCTCCGATAAATTGAAAATATTATGTATCATCAACCTGAGGTTATATTAGAAACAGCACTAATGGATCGTCCATCCAGACTTGTTACCGCCCACTGGTTCACACAGTTGCCTTTGATCATTTCACGCAAGAATTGGCGGATATATAGGAGAATACACTTGTACAATGGTGGTTGAATCGAGAGGCCAGGAAGCCCTGGCTGACACCGATAGGCGGCACGGTGTCACATCACAGGGATGCTAAAAACAGTGGCAAGGATATTTTGTCGTTAACTGGCCAATACTACACTCTCCTACCCTCAAACTATCTATTCTATTTTAAAATAAATACTTTGCCAAATTCAACGACACATCAACGACACACAACTTATCCAACCAACGTCTTCCACACATTCAATCAACTCAAGATTATTTATTTTTCTCTGCATTATACATATGTCTTGTTATGGAAAGCATGATGATCGTCTTGTATGCATCCTGTAGCTTTTGTTTCGATGGAGTGAAATGCCATTGCCAGTGGGGCTTTATGACAAAACAGCCGAGTATAAAATAGCAATTCCCTCCATTCATTACTTTGCAAACTGTGAATCCCTATTATTGTTACTGTTATCAACAATGACATCTGATGAGTTTCTACCCATTCTACTGGAGCTCTTCTTTCTCAAGTATTATTACATAATCATTGTCCGCTGCAAGTCAAGCTTTCCCTACTAATTTATAAATAATGAGGTGATCGTTTGTAATGAGTGTGCATGAATTCGGAGATAAATAATGAGGTCTCAATAATAGTCAACCTCATTACATCTTGTAGATATTGCAGACTCCACTCGAGTATAGATACAAGACTACAGACTGCAGATTATGACCATTAAAGAATCGGTTAAAGAAAAATACCCAAATGAAATTTGAAGTGTTGACTATCCTCCGTGTACTATCATTCGTGCGTCATGGAAGAATAAATTTTCAAATTACAAGCTTTATCATTCCTACCATATAATTTTTCCTTTGTTTCAATTTAACCCTGCGGCATTCCAAGTACCACTCGAGACTATTGTGCGGCAAAATTAAATGAAGAAGGAAGCAAAGTTTGTAATTCCGTTAGAAGCGGCTAAGCTCAAGTAAAACTACCACGGAAAAAGTTGGTACACTTGTGGTACAGTATAAATTGGTGATGAAGCCCAATTGAATTTGCTAAAATAAATGAAAAATAAATTTTTTTTCCATATTATTGTTATTTGGAAAAATGGGTTTCGGAGTAGTTTTCATTTGAAGGAAAACTCTTCGTCATCATAAATTTCATCATTTGCAGAATGGCACACATAAAACTGGGGATTATACATATACATATGAAAGACTTTTCCTGACAACGCCATTCGTATCTACCTTTCATTCTGTTACTGATTTCCAATAATCTCTCATAGAACTTGTGAAATCTTTTCCTTATATTTTTTAATTATCAAAGTTATTAACTTCATGTCGACATCGGCTTCATATAAAGATCGGTTTGATAATTTGGTTCCGATAAAATGCTTATAAAGTTCTTCACAAGAAACTTTGCCACGGAACTGCAATACACATTAGAAAGTTCGACAAGTGAATTTCTACATCGATATAGAACTCGCTAAGAGTTTGATCAATCGACATTATATTATATTATACATTAAACTGCCAGGATAATTAATATTGGCAAGTGATGCGTAAGAAAGTTACTGTATCCAATGTTAAATTGTATTGATATGTGTTTTAATTGGCCTACTCCCGTTGCAACTAAACTAGTTTTCACACCCGAGTGTTTCAAACTATGGCTCACATGTATATAGATATGGAAGAAATCGGTATAACACGCTTCCATGGCTTTAATGTCACTAATTAATATCGCAATCCGATTGTCATATGCCTGGGGATGTGGAATGGGGAAGGCCAGTTAGTGGGGATTTATACATCTACCAATTCACAAGTGCCAATTTTATCTCTCTATGTGCCCTATTTCTCTCTAAATGAAAACCATCAACCCAATCATTAGTAAATCATCAACTACCGATATTATATTTGTATAGATTCTATTCCTTTAAAAAAAAAAGGCTTTAAATATGGCCCGCGGAGCGCGCCATATATACGCTAGTATGAATAAAAAGTACAAGTATCATCGAAATCTGACAGGATAGAAAATACTTCACCACTGCAATGTAAAAATTTGCTTGCATTGTGAAACTCAATTACAGTACTAAGTATCTATGCCGAGGTCGGTACTTAAGCGTCTATTTTTTCATCCCTTAAATTCCCAGTATTTTCATTGAAAGTACATTCGATGAAATTACCAAAATTACCACTACATTCCATATAATATTAATGACAACAATTTCAGTGCAATTGCAATAATAATTTCTATAAAAGGTTATTTCAAGTCGCTTTGCTCGCCGAGAAAACATCAGAAGATAATTGAAAGTCAATTGAATATTTGTATTAAAAAAAGTGTTTGACAATAAGTTAGCAGATGACGAGAAAAAAAGTGAGATGAGAATGACAAACAATGTAATAACAATACAGATAAAAAAAAGTGAAATTGACTGGGACCTGAAGCTAGAGAGCTAGAGGTAGAGTGATCAACTTGAATCAATTAGCATGACAGACTATGAGAGAATACGAGTGGTGGTGCTTGGGGGTGCTGGAGTTGGAAAAAGCGCTATTCTTAGGAGACTCCTTGGACAGGGATTTACAGAGAGGTACCGACCCACCGTTGAAGATCTATATTCTAGGGAATGCATACTCGGCACACTTACACTCAAAGTCGATCTGTTGGACACTGCCGGTGAGAAAAACTTTTGATTGAATTTATAATGTACTAGCGCCGTCGGAACACTGATGAAATCCTCATTTTCATATGCATTTTTTACTAATGGATAATAAAGAAGAAAAAAAACGATTTTTCATTATTTTGTTGAAAAAAAAATGTTAGGTGATCTTCAGTTTCCAGCAATGCGAAGACTCAGTATAGCAACTGCACACGCCTTTTTACTGGTTTATGCGACAACATCCCTACCAAGTTTCGAATGTGTCAAGAGGTGCTTTGAAGAAGTCAGGGAACAACGCCTAGACTATCAGGTGAGTTGTTAATTATAGTCAAGTGAGAGGCATGTTTTTTTTTTTTTAATTTTTCTCTACTATGCTGTTCAGGATGTGCCAATAGTAGTGGCGGGTAATAAACTCGACTTGGCATCAGCCCGACGGGAAGTACCAATCGAAGACGCAAGTGAATGGTTATTTTGTGAATTGCCAAAGCTCAGGGCAAAAATAATGGAATGTTCTGCCAAGGATGACTACAATATCAAAGAAATATTTAGATGTTTTGTAACGCTTTCTAAAATACAAAAAAATCCTAGCGGTGAACTCGATGAGTCTGGCCTCAGGAGAAGATGTTCTGCCTATGGATCCAGAAGGTGAGCCTACAGATGGACGTGTTTTTTAATCTTTCATTCGACTTACATACATTTATTGAAATATTTTTCAATGAGATCGGGAAGCCCCGGAGGAAAGACGGGAGGCATGAGCGCGGGTGGAGGTGGTGGTGCCACTCAACAAGTTGTAGCAGCTCAAGGTACGAGTTTTGTTGCACTTGCTGAAGAAGTCAAGAGTAAGCCACGCAGCAGGAGTCTTATACGTCGCGCTTCACGAAAGACAAAGCAGCAAATACGAGAAGCGCATACTGACGACTGCAATATATCTTGAATGAGCTTTTCATTTCTTCGTCCATTAAAAATTGATGTGAAATTGAAAATACATATTATTTTCATTAGACCTTCGTCAGTATTTACGCACAGATAATTGTCTAGTATACAGTATTGAAGTGGTTTATGGACCCCGAGCAACAGAGAATAGTATATATTATGAGAAGACGCATGCTGGAATGGAAAGGAATAAATGTACTTGTACCGAAAGTAAAGAAAAATATGAAAGAAGTAAACTTGCCGTCTCTATTTCAGATATAAGCACTTCTATCACTCTATATGCTAGAATCAAAATACTTGAGTTATCCGAATTTATATAATCGTTATGGTGCCCGAGACCAACAACAAAGTCTTTACTTTAGATTTTAAGGATAGAAATAAACTCATGACAGTATGTTTGTCATGAAGAATTAAGAAGAGACAAAAAATCATTCAGAAGCCATATCATATTCCTCCCTCAGGTACAAATTAATTTAACCTCAGAGTGTATTGCTATATCATTTACCTTCATTTTAAAAACATGTCCTATTTTTTTTTCGAATATTGTGGACTTTTTTGCAAAAATTATATGAAGAAGTCCAGACGTTAATCTGATACAGCCAATAAATAAATAAATAAATAATATTCTTGACAAAAAAAAAATGAGTTTACCCTTCGGAGGGAACAAATAACAGAGGTGTTTTAATTTGTAATATTATCTCCAATAATATAATAAGTGAATGCTGTAAATTATTGTTATCATAGAAAGATAAAATGAAAAAAAAAACCAATGAGTGATTTAATGGTATGTCAATAAAAATGTTTTCAATTGTTATTTTGCTTGCTGTATTCCCAACATGAGGTTAATATTAAGAAAAGTAAAATTGTCCAATGTTACGTAATTTTAAAAACTTGGAGAATAAAAAACAAGTGGGCTTATGATTTGATATGATATAGTCATTTCTGCTAATAAATTTGCAATAGGTTTTCAGATGGAAATATTGCATTTCATTCCCCTGTATTAAAAGAGCAATGGATTATTCATTTCGTCGGCTGATTTTCTAAGATTCAACAATTAATATTAAAAAAGTAATAATAAACCGAACATGAAAAATTGCACACTCGAAATGGAACGATTACAGTGCTTTCATTTGGAAGCAAAAAAAAAACAATTAAAAAATAATCCTGACAATCTCACTACGCAGGACCAACAAATGGATTAATTTCCTTGTTGTTCACATTCGAATAGGTATGAAAAAGAAGACCACGATAGGAGAAAATGCGCACATTTTTTTTTTCCATTATTTGCATGGTCTGAAATCTACTGATAGCTTTCGGGACATGAGTTGAATGAGACAAAGCGTCGGATCGATTTTTTCCCCTGTACTTTTTTTTCGTCTATTCAGTATAGGTTAGCCGGGGGAACGTGGTCTTCTGGCTGCGATGATAAAACATTTTACAGGCCACTGAACGCACTGATTGGAATATCCTGTTATTTATTAAAATGGAGCCTTATTCTTCGATGACTGTTCTCCATTGACATTTCAATAAATAGATGGGCTTGTTTTCCGAATTTTTATATATTTTATTATTATTTTATAATAAATTTCTATATTTTACATTCTCACCTCTCTCCATTATCCGAAATCTCGTTGATGAACTAGTTTTGCGACGAAAGAGTAGAAGTGTTTGAATTTAAATTGCCATAGCAGCCATTGTTAATGCCATGAAACAAATTTTCAAAGTGTTTAACATATGCTTGACAATGCTCACCCCGTGTGAAAGCCGTTGTATTGTGAAGTCTCACATTGCGTTGCTCAAAGAATTTATATACAGAGTGAAACAAAGTCGGATCATTGAGAATTCTAGCTGCTTCCAGGAACTTACGCGCAGATACCTGATCAACCATTCCAACGGATCGTACGTATCTGAGAGTAATTGAGAAATTAAAACTCGTTGATTAACAATCATCCATATAATTATTTCAGCAGAGAATTTATTTTTCACCTTAGTGCAGGTAAAATGTGTCCTTTAGACAGCAACACCTCTATAATTTCTTCGTGCGCATTCCCGAGTCGTTTCAACATGTCCAGAGCTAATTGATGCGCCGCTGGATACAAATTCTCTAATGATAAAAGTAAACAAGCTAGAGGTTTTGAGTCAGCTACTACGTGATATTGAAGTAACTGATGTAGCTGATAATATGCTTTGCGCTGAACCAATGTTGTAATGACTAATTCATGTAAATAATGTTGCACTGGAATTCCATGTTCTGTCAATGATCTAAAAATAATAATTGGTAGTCATCTCAAACTGTAATAAAAAGTTTTGTGATACAATTGGCTCAATACCTTATATATTCCAGTAGAACCCAGACAATCATTTTCGGTTCAATGATATCACCAGAGGAGAATTTCGAAAGTATATGAGAATATATGTCGCTCTGATCAATTAGTGCCTTGAATGCAAAATTTTCCAAATGATTTGGCAGAGATTTTGATATATTCTGCAACGGTTCGCCCATCTGTCAATTGTAGGAATTTCATTTATTCAAAATATTAATACTTGAATGATATATTTCATGTAATCATTATTACTTGACTTTGAATCTCGTTCTCCAAATGATTTCTATAAATGTCATTCAATTTATCGAAAACAGCAGGCATATCTCCGAGAGTGATAGGTAAATCATTGACATAATTTTGAAGTACTTGGAGTAAAATTTGTTTTGAATTTTTTCTCTGTAGCAAAAATTCCACCAATTGAACTTTGTCTTCAATAAGTTGGACAAGAGATTCCAATCGGAGCTCAATGTACCATAAACATCCTAATTTGGCATCAATCACTATATTTGGCTGAAAAACGACCCAATTGGGTGAATCTTAAATTGCATTCATATTCATTTGACAGGAAAATATCGATTCCATTTTTCCTTCAGAAATAGCATATTAATGGATAATTGATATTTAAACGAGGAAGGATACAAAGTTGACAGGGCTGAATCGTTTGTTCCGATAATGTTGCACCTTGCACTCTGAGATTATAAGGCTTTATAGGCTTTGGGGGAGCTACAGCAGTGTGATGCATCACTGTCCCGTCAGAAACACCCGCCAGCATAATATCGAAAATCATTGAAGTCTGAAAATTTCCAAAACCACAATAATAACAATATTAGTGCGAGGACAGAAAGACGCATATTGATGTACCTTTGATGCTTGATGATGGACAATTATCAAATTATCCACAACATTAATAGCAAACCGCCCGGTCATATCCAGTTTCAGTATATGACTTTTTTTTATCGTCAGCATTCTCCGATTAAAAAGGAAAATTAATTAATCCATGGGTTTACAAGCCATTTATATTTCACATTTTCATATATTTATATTCGTTACTTACTTGTGAACAGTATATACGCAAACATAAGCAGTTCCAAGCGATTTATTGGCTCCATGCTGATGTCTCAGGACAATTATACAAGGAATTCCATATAACGCAGCGAGGGCAACATCTCTCTCAGAAACAGCTAGCTTGCCTGGTTTCGATGGCGTTACCTCCACTGGAAAAATATTAAAACTTATGTCTAGCCATTGGTCTCTTTGTAAATTTTTTTGTCGGAGAAAAAATTCTCATTCTCACTCACTCTCAAATTTTGTTATTTTATTTAAATTTCCAGGAGTAACATGGAGTGCCTGCATCTGGTTTCCAATGGTCCCAGAGGAGAGTAAAATCATATTACTTTGATAACAATAAACGTACCAATTTACTCCTAAGCTCAGAGATTTGAGAGCTTTCACATTCCTTTTTGCTGGATTTACCTGAATATATCATTGAAAGAACTGATGAAGCAGCAAAAAAATTTTAATGTATTGGTATATTGAAAAAATATATACCAGGAAAAGTTCCACTCCATGGTCTGTGATAACGAGAATCTCATTGCCATAAGTCCAAATAAATCCTTGAATGGAGGCATTTTTTCCCCTACAACTCTGTGAGTATTCGATATTATCCAATCCAGAATTGGTCGAATAATTAACAAATTCTACAGAAGTTGTCGTCCTTTGGATTGCAAGGATATTCATATTTGGTGAGAATTTAATAGATATAACGGGACCTTTATCATCCATGCGAAAGTTCAAATTATGTTCTGGGCCTTTGACCAAGACGCCTGTCACCCCTCCAGACCGAACCGCAAATACCTGTTAAGGAGATTTTGTTTTTTTTTCTTGTTTTTTCCTCTTCTTCCATTATCATTATAATAATGAGAAAAAATCACTGGTTTGGTAACCTGTTGTTTGGAGTCATCGAAGAAGACATTTGTAAGACTGCTGACAGATTCAAATTTTATAGGTTCTAGTGACAACTCCAAATAATAGTCATCTCCAGGCACTTCACTATCTTCCATTTCACTTTTGTTGGTTTATTAAAAAACAATGAACTATTGGAATGCTTGAGAAATAATGGAAAAAATGAAAATAGAGAAATTGATGAAAGTGGTGTTAGAGATGAGAGATTTATCCTCGAAAATCAGCTGTTTTGGAAGAGTTAGCACGGTGGGCGGACTGGGGCGGGAGGAGGGAGGAGGAGTTGTGCGAGAAAGAGTGCGTGTCAGAGATAGGCGGAATTGTCACAAGATGGCGCAACATAAGTAGAAATAATGCGTGCGCGAGCGAGGAAGGTCAATAGGAGCAATAGCAGAGCTCCCTGACACATCGAACGACACACAATATGACAAGATAAGTGTGCGTGCTATATCTATTCGGTCTATTCATTTATAAGTGGTGTGGTATAAATGTGTGGTGGTGGTGGTAGTGGTGGGTGAGAATTCTGACCGAACACAGAGGTCCTTCGTAGTCGGACACAAGAAAATGGCGGACAGTGCTACGGCGAAAGGGCAGGGACGTTCCAAGAGATGAGACTTGCTATCCAATCAGCATGTGATTTAACAATTACCAAAAATCCTTTACATTGTTAAATTATTCGTATAATTATTAATTGATTGCCCAGGGGAAGAATTCATTCAAGTTCTCCTGTTTTTATACCACCAGAGTTGTTCCATTCATTGTGTTATTTTGTTTCATCAAGTGCGTTAAAGGTGTTGGACTTGGCATACTCGCCATAGAGAACAATATAATCACTCCTCCCAAGTGTTTGTGACATGTAGACAATTTCCACTAGGACATTGACAAGTGAACAAACAATTCCAGGTAAATCTCATTTATTCATCAACACTATACTACCATCGCCATTATTATTGATAATTTCATTATTGCTGGTGGGCATTAATTGTTAGAGTTTTTTTTTTTCACCCTTTTTTTGGTGAAAATGTGAAAATGAAAAGAAAAGGGGTTTTAGGGGTTTTTAAGGGCTTGGAGTTTTAAGGTATATTCATTGATCAGGAGCGCCGACTCACATCAGCCACTTGTGGCCTTCTATGGACGAGTTTTTATTCTGCTTTCTTCAACCTGGAAGAGGGTTGAAAAAGCCCAATAAGATGCTTTATCATTGATTTGATTTTTATTATTTATTATAATTTCTATTGTGTGAAAAAATATGCAAAATCCAGAGGTATTTGGCATTTTGGCATTTTGATATTTGTAATTTTTCAAAATCCAATCTCTGGCATTTAGCCTCTTTATTTTCATCCACAGAATAAATTTCACTGACTCCGGCATCAATATATAAACCTGGCAATGTCAATCAGATAGTTTAAATTCAATGAATAGAATTAAACGTTTGGCTAATCAACAATATAATCCATAATCAAAGATGTGAACTCCGGGTGGTAGTACGTAATGAAGCCACAAAAGAAGGCTACTGTTGCGCAAAAGGCGCCAAAGTCGCCATCGGTTGCCAACAAGCGCCGTCCTTTAAACGATAAATTATCCACTGATACAAAAAAAGATATTAAAAAATTGAGAAGAATCGACAAAACCGACGAGCTTAAGAGGAAATTGGAATACGACAAGAAAAAACTAGAAAAGAAGAAATTAATTGAGGAAGGGAAAAAAATGGAGGACTCTAAGAAGAGAGATAAATCTGATAAACTTGACACTAAAAAGTTGCTCAAGGATGCGGATAAGAGGATCGAAAGCTACGAGGATAAGAGAATTGAAAAAACATTGGAGAATGTTGAAGACTCTTGTCCAGAGTCAAATTTGATCTGTTTAGAAAAACGAAAAAATCTTAAATTGGAAGAGAAGCAAAGAGGGGAAAAACAAAACGTAGACATAAAGAAGAAATTTGAAGAGAAAAAGAGATTATTGAAGGGGATTGAAATTAGCGAGTCTGAGCCAATATTAACTTCTCCATTGCCCAATGAATCTAAGCTAGACGATAAAATTCAGATTCCACTGACGAAGAAAAAAATTAAAGATGATAAAAAGAAGGATGTTAAAACAATAAAGCTCGAAACAGCTAAAGACCTCAAGACCAATACTCCCACCAAAGACAACAAACTAGAGAAGAAATCATCGGACGTTGCGAAAAAAATTAAATCAGTCATTCAGAAAAAAGCTTCAAAACCATCTCAAAAGAAAAACTCAACTAAAAAAACAGTTGTAGCCAAAAAATGTCCATTAGCCAAGAAGCTGATTGAAAAGAAAATGAAACTAGTCAAAACCATTTCAATGAAGGAAGACAGTTCCTCTCCTTCTGAAGAAAATGAAATTATTATTAATCCAAAGAAGAAGTGTCTTCTGGAAAAATCAAATATTGCTTGCGTGAAAAAAGCAAAATTGGCAAAACAATTGAAAGCAAAACTTGCTCCAAAGAATGTGAAGATTATAAAGAAGGAAAAATTACGGAAGATAACGGATAAAGTTGTGAAGAAAGGATTAGATATGAAAGAATTGGAAAAATTGTCGGATTGTAAAAAAATGTCAAAGGAGGTATCATCGAGTGTCGAAGGATTGAAGCAAGAACTCTCGGACAAACTCGATGAGGAGGAAAATTTCAAGTCTTCAGAAATTAACAAATCTCAAAAATTAACAACCAAATTAAAGCCTAAAAGAGCACCTCGAAAATCTGTAAAATCATCAGTGAAATGTTCAGAGAGGGAGCAAGAGGATCAAGTAACTACCAAAACAGAAAATATTTCACCAAAATCTCCCTTGTCAAATTCAATGAAAAATATTGCTGAAAATCAACAAGGAATAGATCTAAAAATTGAAGTAATGGCAAATACATCAAGCAGCGACAGTCCACCTTCTTCAAGTGATTCTGATCACGACTATGTTGATACATCGCAACGACGAAAGAAAAATAAAAGTAAAAGTAACAATAATAAGAAAAGGGAGGAAGATGAGGAAAGTCTTGATAATTCTTCGAACGATGAAAGAGCAAGACGAATGCGATTATTTGGATTTTGGAGTGGGCCGAAACGCCATCGTGTCGCATCATTGAATGCACTGGCAAAGGTTCACTGCCTCTATGAAAATGAAGCTGGTGGCGTTTACCTGGGGGGTTTTTGCAAGCCAAAACCAGAAAAAGACACCAAATCAAAGAAAACAACAGCTAAAGAAGAGAAGGAAGAGTCTTCTGGGCGAAAAGAGAAGGATAAGAAAGCTGATGGCTCCAACAACACATCCAAGAGAAACTTGAGAAATGTTCCAGGTTTAAGAGGGAAACACTGGGACATGATGGAGTGCTCCTCTTCCTCCTCGTCATCCTCTGAGGATGAATCTGGTCAGAGGAATGAGAGAAACGTTAAACGTGGTGGAAGGAAAAAAAATACACCGAGAAAAAAAAAGAGCGAAGAGGTGATGGATCTCAAGGATATGGTTGTATGTAAGAGAATGGCTAGTTTAAATGCATCAGCTATATTAGCAGCCTCTTATTCCGATGAGAAAAATAGACAGAGTAGTTCGGAAGAAACTGAAAGTGAATCTAGTGAAGTGGAGGTTATTAAGAGACGAAAACAAATTGATAATGATGGAGATAAGAAAAAAGCTCGACTGGGTAACGATGACGATGTTCTCAAACCGGCAAAGAAGGTGGTTGTTCTGAATCAGGATACAGATGTTACTATAACGGGTAAATAAAATTCTTTCCACATCTTTTTCCACAATTCACAACATTCCCCTCAGACCAACTCAATTTACCCTGGATTCCTCTAAATTCAGGTGTCTATGTTAATCAAACCCGCTCAACTCACCACGAGGGTTTCTGCAGTATTGCCGGAATGCAATATAGGATCAGTTCGACCAGTCACACACAAACGGCTGCAACTGCCGTTGCCACTGAACTTCATGAACAGGTACCAAATTGCATAATTACAGGAAAATTCACAATTACCTATTTCAACAACTTTTTAGAAAGTCGAACAGCCCTGCAAGTCTTACACACCCCTTGGAGCCCTGTCATCAATGCAACCACCAGGAAGCCAGGCCAATCATGCAGAGATGTCTCCTCGAAGACACTCCGCATTTAGTGCTCCCCATCAGCACGGTCAGTTGATAATAACTTTAAATTTATTTCATTGTCTAATTGATCCTTTTTAGAAAACTCGCTAGAGATTTTTATTTATGTTCTAATTGAAAATTGGAAAGGTCGAAAGGTGGAATTTCAGCACGACATCGAGTTGATCAGCTGCTGTCACCATGGGCGATCATGCTCATGTATTTATCACAATTCAATTAATTTTGTAGCCAAGAAATTATCTATTTTCCTCCGCACTCCAATACGTACGTCCCTGCGTCATATGCGCGCGCACCCTTTCCATCGAAAAATTTCTCTCTCTCTCTCTCTCCCTCTCAACACTGTCTGATCAACTCATCTCTGTTATACTTGCACACTCAATTCATCCCCCATAGAGGATATTCCAGGACATTTAAACTCTGGAATATAAGGATAGGCTCGCGTTCCTTGTACTTGTCACGCTATCATATGTACACAGATACATAAACGGCATGCGGCATGTGGCATGTGGCATGTGGCATGTGGCAAAAGGAGGGAAAAGAAGGAGAGCGACATATAGACTGACTCCCCCCTCCTTTATGTAAACCGCGACGTGCTGGCTGTAACCCCTCTAACCGCTCTAACTACGTACTACGCAGTCGAGCCACATCACACACTGTGCAACCACCGTTCATCTTCACTGTCGCGCTACTTTTCTAACGTGAACAATAATAATACCCACCCGTCAATTTTGTACAACACCTCCAACTATTCAATACATCAGTGATAAATCACAATCATCACTTCATTATACCGGTGTAAACAATAATTCGATTGATCGTGCTTCAACATGGCAAAGTACCGCCAAGTGTTTATCTTCAACTAGTGGTGCACTACCCCTTTACCGGTTCTCCTTACTTTTTGGCTATATAATGCGCCCAGGAATCTTCACTAGCCGATGTGCATCAAATTAGCTTCATTATGACATATCAAAGTGATGGTAGGAGAGGAACAATGAATAAATACTTGGAAAGTGCTATCAAACGTGCATTGATCAGTTGATATTTGATATGAGTAATCGTATTCAGTTAGTTAACGTTATTGCTCGTTTATTTCATTTTCAAAAACCTGAAACCCCAAAAAGCTGATTTAGAGTGATTTTTGTGCCTGAAATATCGAGGTATTTGATATTCTTATTCAATAGCGAGACTTTGAGAAAAACAACTGTACATGGAATATTCAAGCAAATAGCTAATATCGAGATACATAGCTAGACATGTTCGTAGTGATCATTGACGTCATATTGTCCTCTATCTCACTTCCCCCAGAGGAGGGTCACCATTATGTGTAAACACAAAAACCCAACACTTGACGAAACGACAATTGCGGCATCCTCGTGAAAATCTCAGGCAACAATTGCCAAATTTATCTTTATAGAAGGCAATTCAAAATCCCTGTCTATCCTCGCTCTTGAGAATTTATTGTCCAAACCTTAGAAATTTTCGTAAGCAGGTATCTTGGTAGCCCGAGCAATAATTATTTGATAGCCAGTCAATTTATCTGATACGCGAGATTTTCCGTCTATACAACGGTATGTTGTCAAATATCTTTGAAATATTCATCCCAAGCATTTGAATAGTCCTCTAACATGCTGGAAGATCCGGAGAATTGTGTGTTATTATTTGGTAATAATATATTATGAGAGATTTGCGCACTTTGACGTGGCATATCCAGTTGAGAGTCACTGTACTCCCCCCCTCCCCCCTCCCCATTCTACTGGTGTTGTACTACGTCTCACTGTGTGTAATGCCACAGAAAGGTTTGTAAACCAAGCGTCTTGCGCCGTCTCGTCTCACCAGTTTTTTTTCACTTGCAACTTTGAAAAGATTTGTCCGATGTGATACGTGGTTTTGAATAAGATAGTCGTGACTGGACAACTTTTTCCTCCTCTGCTTTGACGCATTAGGTAATCATCGCACATGTCTACATAATTTTCTTTCCTTATTCCTATAAACCTTAAAAAAAATGCTCCGCAGGACAAACCAAATAAAAGTGACAAATGACAAATTCATATCAATTTAATTCATTACAATTCCGAAGAGTAAGCGATATAAGTCAACACGTCCGGTTATTTTTTCCACTTTTTCTCCTTTGTTTTTCTAAATTTCCACACTGAGATCTGTGAGCACCAGCAGTTTAGCCTGCGCTATCACATAATCAGATAAGTGAAAACGTTTCTATAGTACCAAGTAGCTGAAATGTTAGCACTCACCGGAAGTCTCCCTCGTTCTCATTTGTATTTTTTTATACGACAATGCGTCTACTTCAATATTTTTATCAATGACAAGAGGTATGTGGACTTGTGCGAATTACTCGATTAATGTGTTCGTTTTTTCGTCAAGACCGTCGGAATCAAAAGAGTCGTGGCTTTACGAAATCGGCTTATTTTTTTCATCAACCTCTTGACCCTAACGCGACAACATTATTATAATTGTTTCAAAGTCAATAAATGGTGTATCTCCCAAAAGTCATAGTGCCATGAAGTTTGAAAATGGGGAGAGGGGCATCACTAAATAATATCCAACTACTTGGTCATCACTTACATTATTGAAGGAAGAATAAATGAGGAATAAAAAGTAAAAGGGATCTGGGTATGCGCCAACGGGATAAGAGAAGGAGCATAACGAAAAGAGTAAGACGAAAGATTTCGGTTGTTATTTAGCAGCTGTGTAGCAGCAGGAATAGGCAGATGCTTCGAGAAAACCTCTTTAGGACGTACAGCCGGTCTCCACTGGTTAGGGGCCTGAAGAGAAAGAAACCAAAGGAGACCGGAGGTATTTTTTTACCGTCGAAAATTAAAGCGAGGAAAAATAGGGGGAGATATTGTTAAAAATTTTTACAAAAATAGGGAGAAAAAAATGAAATTAATTATTTCAAGGAAGTATGTAGATATGTCCTCTATATGTTAGGGTACACATAAGTACGCAAATACAGGTGCTTGTGCATTTGTCGCCGCGACAGCCACAGCCACAGCCATAGCTACAGTGAGGATACCAATAGGCGCCTATTGGTGACGTCTCGCTTAACGCCACGACCTTGCCCGCTTGCGCTCCTGCCCGAATTACACCACTCTTCTCACTCACCCTGTCTTTTCTACAAAACAGCCTACCTACTACTACTACTACTACTACTACTACTACTACTATCACTAGTCAAAACTCCATCCATCTCACTCCCCCAGTTGTCTGGCATATTCGAGCAAGTGATACGTTGCCTATATATACAGTTCGGTTAAATAACATAAAATTTCCAAAGAAGTGGGGGAAGAAAGAGTAGTGTTGTGAGTATACTAAAAGCACCTCGCAATTGGGATCCCGGTACACAGTTGATTCGCAAGATTCGTAGTTGGCGCGTGTGTTCCACTGTGCACATCCATGTTCCACTGTCGTTGAAGAAAGCCTTAGTCTTTACTCCTAGTTCTTCGACCCGTTCTTTTTCTCTCTCTCCCTGGTATATCCCTCGCTTCTATCTTCCTCATCACGAGGAGAGACGCGTGCACGAGGTTTTGACGTAACGCAAATATTCAATTTCAACAGTGCCACCCTCCTCTCTCTATAGCCTATGTGTTCGTGCAAGTTTTCTCAAAGTCGTTAAGAAATATAAATTGCCAAACGATTATATGATAATAATAATAATGGGGAGTGAAATCGATTGAGCGAATCGCTAGAACACTCGGTAAATTCAGTCCAGGGAAGGGGCCTTTCTCTCTTTTCTCTCTTTCATTACAGAAGTGTATAGGATTTTGAGAGTTAAATATTATCGAATCAACAGGTGTACATTGTTGAAACGACCTTTCCACTTTTCTAAGTTACTTAGTAAGAGTGTAGGGACTAACGAAAAAAAATGTGGGTTCAGTGTAGAGAAAGCACCTTTCGAAAATTGATTCAAACACGATAATCTATGTCATCCCGTCGTAGCTTTTTTCATGATCAAAGTCATAAGCCCTTTACCCTGCTCTCTGTACAATGAAGAATGAGTATGATTTTGGAGTAAGCAAACGACGAACCTACGGGAGTGATGTTGAAACGACGTGCTCTCGAATGACGATTACTCCCGAAAGCGATTGACTCTTCGAGAGCTGTACTACCAGAGAATCGTTGACTTTCTTTATTATTACGTCTCGTCTGAGGCGCCACTATTTGCTGTATGCCTGCTTCACTCTTTTTCTCTTTTCCTTACCGACCTCACACCTCACATCTTCTCATTCGATACTTGCCATCTTTTTTATTCACCATTCTTGTACCCCTCAATCGACCCCCTTTATTGGCTTTTTTTTTTCACCTATTCTCGCCATACCAACCAACTCTCTTTTGCCAACGTCATAGACACTTGCAAATATCGCACTTTGCAGGAGTTTCGAAGTGTATGTGTGTAGTGTAGATGGAAATAGCCTTTATTTTGGAATATCGGTTCTGTTACTCTTACCCCTTCTCAGATAAGATAAATGATGAAAGTTACTGAATTCACAGTGGGGACTAAACCACAGTAAACCATTATTTGAGGGATAATAAAAACCAAAGAATTTAATCAGCATCGAAAGTGAAATTTATTGTGATGGTATCGTGTGAAATACAAGTGGGAAAACCCAAAAACATGACAAAGAGTCGTTGCAAAATATGTGAAATACTTGGTGAAAGTGAGATAACTCGTGAACATGGTTTGAGTGATCCATGTCACTTGTCTTCTCTACAGCAGTTGAGCCATTTCGGTTTGAGTTATGTACCAAATACGAATATTGACTACGCCAACCATGGTCTACTCAATGGAATCTATTTACCACAGCTCAAGGATATGATGCTTGCGGCCTATTTACTCAGAGGTAAAATTTTATTCAGTCAAATTTTATCCAGGATTCGAGAACTATAAGGAAAGAAATGAGATCCTTGAAATCGATTTCCTACAGGGTGATATGAAGGTGGGAAGGTGGGCACTTGGAAAATTCTCAGTCAATAATTATTTAAAAATTAAAATGACCACTAATTGAAGATAAGATCAAGAGTGAATTATTAAATTATTGGTTTAGAATGAATTTGGATAAAATGGAAATAATCATTGAAATATTGACATCATGCAACCGTAATTGGGCGCGCAATGTGCGCCTCCATTCCTAGTATGTATAAATTGCATTCCTCGTAGACTGTAGGTTTTTTGTATGTGCACATTGGTAATTTCTCGGATAGCACCTACCCAGTTGGCATTTCACTGTAGAGAAAGTACGAAAGAAATACATTAACGAGAAACTGGAGAAGCCTGCCATTTCAATTGACACTGGTCTCTCTGGTAAATATTACAGAGATTTTCCAGTGTATTTAAAATTCATCTATTTAACAATGTTTGTATGCACATACTCCTCATTCAGCGAGTATCAGCTCTAATGGACCTTGACCTTGCACATTTTCTATTTTCCTCTTGCTCTCGAAATAGATCTTATATTTTTAATTTTTTAACATCAAAGCATTTTTTTATCGAAGTTTGAGAATTGTTGAGGCTGATGTTTGGTTTTTAAATGAACAATTGATGAGAGTGTAATGGCTCAGGGATTACAGGGCATGTACGAATCTCTACACCGATTGAGGTTACTCGGTTGTCAGCCGACGCCAATACGTAGTGCAAAGCAGGTCGCCCCATTATTCTCGTTACATTACCAGAGAAGATATTTAGCTTTGGATATTGAAGCGAGAGAAAAGAGAAAGAAAACATTTTTATTTGTAAATGCTTGGTCAATCCTCTTAATGGTCTTGAAAATTTGAAGAGCCTCCGATATCGTTGACACACCATATACCAAAATAGCAATATGACGAGAGCCTAAATCTAAACGTCAAACGTGACAACTCACGACGCTGAAACAAGTATTTCTTTTAATCGAAATTTAATTTTATAAGCCATGGATATTTCCATTACTTTGCATTGTATGACAGTTATTTCTGGTTATGTATATGATATGTGTGTGCATGAGTCGGCGTCGATCGAACACTCTTATAAACCCGAGGGTCTTTGACTCCTCGATCGGAGCGAGAGCCAGCTACTGTGTAGTGCCACCTCTGCAAGGTAATAAGTACATACACTCTCCTCACTGACCCCATCAGCGGAAGCGCACCAAACAGAAAGACAGAAAGGGAGGAGCTCATCGATTTATTCAACATTGCCAATTCATGAATTACAATGAATTTCCACTTTTACAAAACCAACCAAGATAGATATGTGGAGATAGGCCTCCGGAGACTATTCGAGTTTCCACCATTATCTATATATATATGTGCGAAAAAATCAATTCAACTCCTTTCACACTCGCCTGGTAGCACTCAATGTACTCAATATAAGTGAGGAATTTTCGGTGGTTACTGTTACCAGTGGTATAGTGTAATGATGAAAAAAATGGTAATTATGTTGCAGGATACTATCAGCCGGCTGGTCCACTAATACAACATCCTCCAACGTTACCACCTATCAAAGCACCACCGCCAGAGCCAACACCTACGCCACCCCAAAATTCGGAAGGCTCTGATGATCTTATTGCAACGTCAACCACTTCCGGTGGAACCAACAGCACAGGTAATACTCCTACTTAATCCCTCACCACCCTATCACTCAACCTTGATACAATACTATTGTTTTTTTTTTTCTAGTAGCTGGTGGTTTCTATCGAGCCTATTGCCCTCAATATTATGGGACACCTCCCCAGTATCAAGAACTATGTTATCCACCGACATATCCGCATCCGCATTCGCATCCACCGCCTTACTACAAATACGCACCGGCGTATAGAAGGTATGCACGTATGAACCCATTGAGAGATTGTTTGATGTTGATTTAATTGTTCATATTAATGTTGCAGGCAATATTACGGATATGGTGATAGTGGTGTTGTTGTTGGTGGTGGTGGTGGTATTGGTGTTGGTGGTGGTGGTGGTGGTGGCGGCGGCGGTGGTATTGGTATTGGAGGTGTTGGTGGAGGTGGAGGTGGTGGTGGTTCAGGAGGTTCAGCGGTGGAATATCAGCCACCACCTCCACCACCCCCAGGGGAATATCCAATGCCTCCATACTACAGCGCATATCCTCCTCCACCACCGCCACTGCCACCCCCTCCACCCAATCCTGCATACCTCCATGGCCAAGGTCGTGCCATTGTCGACCATGCGACATTTCAGGGCTGCCCATGCCCCATGCAATCATGTCCAAAAAACGTGGATACTGGACCCCTTATTGGTAATGGTAAGGGGGCGCCAGTGGCATCTGGGCCAGGTCTGTCATTGCCACCCAGTGCATTGGTAGGTCCGCCATCACCAGCGAGGGGACTTGCTGGTTTAGCTCCACCTCACGGCGCCAATGCATGGGATACAGATCGTGTCCAACTAAACACGCATCGCAACCCAAATCAAAACCAATCAAACTCCATTTCTAAAATTCAACATCATGATCAATGCAATAATAAAAATGAGGAGAAACTTGAGCATGATAAAGATGAGAAGAAGAAGAAAAAGAATAAGAAGCAGCACCAGGAGGAGCAGGAGGATAAAAATTGTCAGAGATGCTTGTGTCAAAAAGGCGTTTGTACATCTGCCTGTGAAGTTGTGAAGAAAGAAAAATTATCACCATCCGAACAAGTCCAACCATTGCAAACAACAAATCTATCAGAAAATCTTGATGGATTTAAGGTTGAAAATAACAATGTTAAGTGCGAGTCCTGTAGTGTTGGTGTAAACAAAAATATATCTTGTACAGCGAACTGTAATGTTGAATGTGAGAATAATTACAGGTGTGATATCATCAAGTGCGAACAGTGTATTAAAGAGGGGCAAATAGCAATCCTTGAAATGGACAAAGACTCGGGAATTCTTCTCATTGACGACAAGCTCGATGAAAATTGTGTAAAGGAAGAGATTGATGAAATTGCGGAAATTGCCGATTGGGAAAAGCCCGATTATGAAGCGACTGTTGTTAATGAGTCAGTTGGAGATGAAGAGAGAAAAATTATAACTCAAGAATCAAAGTGTCAGAAATTGACCAAGAGAAAATTGTCACTGGACAGCTTGTCTGACAGTTGGAAAAATAAAAAAGTTGACAAGAGAACACTCTCAGTGGGATCAACGAGAGATAATGAAGAAGACAAACTTCTCAATCCTATGAATGGTAGATATGTTGATGTTAAAGCAACAGGGAAAAAGAAGAACAGTCAAGTGAAGAGAAAAGCTGAAGAGATTAATCCATTGGAGGCCAATAGCAAAAAAATGAGAAGCAAGCAAAATTCTACTCTGAATTGCTTGAAAAAATCAGCTAGCGAGAGTTCTATTATGGAGACCATTGATAATGTCATTCAACAGAGTCTTCAGATGACCAGTAAGAAAAAGGATTGTAAAGTGAAGAGCAGGGAAAGTGGAAGTGCTGTTAAGAGAAAGACGGTCAACATTTTGTCGATGATAAAAAAAGTTCCCAAGGCAATAGTCAAGGCTGTTGTCACTGATGAAATTAGCCTCAAGACTGAGATAAAAATCCCAAAAGAGGTGAAAATAAATAAAATTGAATCAAAAATTGTCAAAATGAAGAATGCGGAGAATAAACCCAAAATTGGCAAAGTTCATAATAATAAAATCAATCAACTGAGCAGAGCAAGTGAATGTAAAAAAACCGATGAGATGTGTGAGGAGGTTACAAAGACTCTAACTGCCTTACCCAGAAAGAAGAGGAATAATAATAACAAAAGTACAAAAAAAGCAGGAAGCTGCAAGAAATTAGGCAAGACTGAAGAGAATATTGTAACTAGTGAGAATTGTATTCTCGTTAGGAGGCCATTTCTTAAACCCAAGTGGAGTAATGGATGGAGTTGGGAGGGAGATTCGTATGAAGCCAAAGTTTATTTAACAGTGAGTATCTCTGTCACCGATTTTCTCTTTGCCTACCAAAAATTCAAAGTCGGTAAAATGACAAATTTATTATTATTTGCTATTTAGAATGAAAAATCAGCGATTCGTACATGTTACGCAGCAATGAGACACATAAGTGGGGATGTCTTACGACCGAGAGACTGCGTACTCTTAAAAAGTGGTCCAAGAAAGGCTGATTTACCCTATGTTGCGAAAATTGCAGCACTTTGGGAAAATCCTGATGATGGTAAGAATTTTCCTTGAATCGCCGAATTGCCAAATTGCCAAATCACTCGATCCAGTAAAGAGAAAAATGAAATTATTATTTTATTTACTATTGTTTAACCAGGAGAAATGATGTTCTCATTACTCTGGTATTATCGACCAGAACATACCGAACAGGGTCGGACCGATTACGATACTGAGGATGAGGTATTTGCCTCTCGTCACCGCGATGCCAACAGTGTTGCTTGCATAGAGGATAAATGTTATATTCTAACATTCAACGAGTATTGTCGGTACGCTAGTCATTTAAATATCAAATATCAGTAATCCAGTAATAATAATGATATCATCATTCATAAGATATTAAAATATTCTTGTTGTTGGTCAGATATCGCAAGGATTTACGGAGAACGGAGGAAGGCTTAGAGTCTCCGGGATTAATTGTTCCACCGGGGGATCATCGATACCCCCGAAAATCCAGGCAGCCCCCGATTCCCGTGCCCTCCGATATGGTACTCTTCTGTCGACGGGTTTATGATTATCGTGGAAAAAAACTCGTTAAAAATCCCGGATGACTCGACATTGTAAATTAGCCCGACAATGGGGATCAATAAGGGAGATTACACAAGAGCACAAAGAATTAAAATGAGAAAAGCCTGCAACAACTAAAATACGAGTATTAATTGATAACTTCAAATTTTCTCTTCAAAATAGGAAAAAAAAAATAAAAACAAATGAGGACGAGTGTACCTTGAAGGGTTGAATTTTTCTCACCGAAGATAATGAAGAAATATTATTCAATGGAAATAACTCGAAATGAATAAATAATCAAATAATGTTAACCTACTTTTTCCGAATTTATATTTTATAGAAGAGATAATTCATATTTTTCGCATAGTAGGTAAAGACAACAAAGTAGAAACTAAACGACCAGAGTTGAAGAAAAATATCGTCGCCTTCAACAGAAAAAAAAATAAAAGCCTTTTGTATTTGAAGAGAAAATTTGATAGTTGACGAGATAAACAATAATGATTGAAAAATCAGAAATTACACTTGACCATTTTAATAGTGAAAACGTAAAGATAAATAAATTTTTTCTCTACGATTGAATGCCGCGCAACGAGCAATAAATTCGGACATCTTCATCTTCAATGTTGAACATTCTTCTCTCCAGTCTCCATCATACTCCATTATTAAGTTATTGAGAGAATGTAATGGTCGTTGAACGTAATATCTGCGTCAATTCAGTTTTATTTTCTAGTGGTGTGCAAATAATAGATTTTTCTACTGAAAACCTTCATCTATGTAATAAAGTATAATACAATCGAATCTATTTGCGGTACACCTATGTTTTATACTTTCACTAATCTTTTAGAATTATCATTTTTCAAAAGCTCCATTCTATCATAAATTAGTATGGAATCATGTTTTTATTCTGTCGGGTTGAATTATTAATACACGGTTTATGATTGAAAGCAATCGGAAGAAAGGGGGTTATCTTAGCATAAAGATGAAATTATCTTAGTACTCGAAACGAAATAATAAATGCAGTGGCGGCATTTTCAGTCCTCGCCATGCATTATCTGAGATGTATTTGCAAAAAAATAGAGAAAGAATACATAATTCAGTCTCAATGAAGTCTCAATTTCATTCGAATATGCTGGAAATTATTGTAACCCTTTGCATCGCATTGTACACATTCAATTTTTTATAGATTTTTTTATATATATCTATATATCTATACATACATATTTAGATATATATATATATATATATATATTATACACATTTTTTTTTTCTTTTATTAAGTGGGTGTTCACTTGTTGAAAAAATTATGTTATTTAAATTAATATATTGCAATTATAATTGGTTATCTAATATATGAACTTTAGATACTAAGTTTTAATTTTGAAAAAAATGCGCGAAAAAGAATAAAGCGGTTTTTAATGGAACAATTATCTAAAATAAAAATGGAACTGAATGAAACAAATTGAAGATGATCGTGGAAGGAGGGTGGTCACGTTCCTCATTCACACATACCAAAACATTCTTTTCAATGAACAATAGAATACTAAAAAAAAATCATTCGGAAAAATCTTCTCATGAATACATGCTATATTATTAATTTATTAATTTATAATATCATTAATTTTTTAAGTTTATTAAAAATCTATCCAAGTTGTATTGTCGCGAGATGTAGGATTACTCACGCAATTCATCCTTGGGAAGAAAATAATGTCGGAGAAACTTAGTGATTATGAAACAGGAGAACAGAATAAAAAGAATATAATATAATCTTTTATTTATTTATTATTTATATTTCTCGAGTAAATGGATTCATTTTTCTTCCATTGATTCCAATATGTTGTACAAATGTTTGGTGAATAAATGATACCGATGAATACTTATTCTCGAGTTTCATCTATTACAATGACGGACGAAGCATTTTCTATTTAAATTTCCAATTTTTGAGATCATTCAGCCCCAAAAATCCTCATTCCATCATACACCAGAATCCAATAATTTGATGTAACTTCGAGTGCCAAAAATCGTCAAAAGAAAGAATGAAAAAGAACAAGTGTTAATGGTACCTCATGAATATATAACAATGGGCAAACCAATAATATTATTCTCAAAAAAATCCTAAAACCATAAACATACAGGAGAGAAGAATTATTTCTACATCAGATTTAGAAAGATGAATGTATATTAATATATATATAGTTAGATAAGTAGATGGGAATAAAGGGAGGAAAAGTCACTAATTGATTGTATCCGAAAGAGGCTAGGGGATGCTGAAAGATTTCCCCATATTTTTTCGTATGTGTTGCTAGAGAGCAAAGCAACGCACGATACATCTATGGCAAATAGGATTCGAGAGAACTTTCCATGAATGTCACGGGTTATTTCACCGCGTATTTGATACACAAGAATATATGCGCATAAGAATTATGCAAGCTTCGTAGGGGCACAGGCATTACAATTTCCGAATAAAGGAGATAAATCAAGTGGTGATGAATTGGAAGTGACATATCGAGTTGAGTAATGGAAATTATACACTTATTTCGCTCCATTTGAGTCCTAAGCTTGCGCTACTCGATTGAGCTTTCAATGCATTGACACGTGAGGGAGAATCTAAACTAGTACCGCAATGTGTTTATCATTCACGAATTTAGAAAACATGAGTGGTGTATTTAAAAAAAAACCAAAAAAGGCTAAATCTATAGCCGCGTGCATGAAGGAAAATTTGGATGTGAAAATGAAAACGTTAAGCCCATCGACAAAACATACATCTCCATTTACTCCGACGTATGAGCGAGTAATAAATCATTAATCAGTCTCTATCATCAATGTCAAATTCAATTTCCGCCAACATTTTTATCAAGTCACTTGCAAATTTTCCTGATGCCCTATAACATTGTAAAATAGGCATAAGAAAAATGAGAAAAAAAAGTTTAATAAATTATTTGATCAAATCCAGGCTTGGATTTATTTGCCGGAAGTGTAGAAAATACGTTATTAGAGCAGTTGAAAAGCATTGCAAGGGGAGAAATCTGATTTGGTTGAAAGGCGGTCAAGCCTTTGATCGACCGTTTCAAGAGTTTGTAATGCTGAGAGCTTTGAATGTAATGCTTAATCCATGCGTCAAGCGCACTATCACGCCTCAAACCCGTGCCTCAAGCTGCTACCTGCAGATTACACAAATTCGTCCAATGAATGAATACCCAAATGTCACTGAGAATTCACTAATTTCACCCGCCCCTTCTTTTTTTTTTCTCCTCCGGAAGTTATTCTAATTATTCTCCGGCTCAAGGTGACCTCATTTTTTTTTCTTATTTATACTATTATTTCCATAGCTTGAGACATTTTGGGCATGGATTCCAGGTAATTCGAGCCTCTCGCATTCCCAACTCCCAATTTCTAAACAAAACAAGGCGCCTCACAATAACACGCCTTCTCAAAGATCCACCAATTCGTAGTATCCTCAACCCACCGACTTTTTACTCAACTCAAATCTTCACAATAACAACTGGGAGGTTCTGTGCGTGACGATTATGGGCGGTTACTCGGATAAATCAGCAATTATTTTGATTTTGCCCAATATACTTTGAATACTTAATTATTATGCGGAGGAAAGGTTTAATCAATCCATGCAAGAGATTCCCTCTTGGTTGTCTGAACGGGGAAAAAGTTGAGGAAAAATAAAGTGTTTTGTATTGAGAGAAATAATCATTGTCATCATTAAATACCTGAAAATAGGGCTTTGGCGGGCGGCATCCCTCGTGATGATTTCGACTAAACTAGAATGCGTGTGTACCGAACCAACAACAGCGGTAGGGGGTAGGAGGTAGGTGGTAGGGGGCAAGTAGCCAGGAGAGAGGGGAAAGGCAACTCAACCTCCTAGTCTCGGGATTGGCGCTCGTGTTACGGCCGGTAGGGGGGGAGTCGAGCTTTCAGGGAGGGACTTTGACTTGGACGTGTACCGTGACCGCCGCTCAGTTAGTGGCTGTCCGTCACTGCGGCACCACTGTTCTAAAGTTTATTTACTAATTCACCGACTTCTCGATTCACCGCTCAATTATCAAGTCAACAAATCTTCAGAGACATTTACCAAGATAATTATGTAAACGCAAAAAGTTTCTCCACCAAGTGTCAGTGAGAAAAAGGTGACTGTGGCAGTGTCAGTGTCAGGGGAGCCGAATATTTCAGTGAATTTTCTCAATATTTATAATGTGATCACCGAACATAAGAAAAGGGACAATAATAAATATCGGAAATCGTCAGAGAAGAGAATAGGCAGAGATTTTGAAAAGTAAAAATGGCCTCAAATACTGATCGGAAAATGTATTACTTGATACTGTTTCTCATTGTTTGGATAAGAAGAGCGGCAGGTGGTAGTGAGATTTATGCAAAGATGTTTTCAAGTCAACAAATGCCCTCTGATCCGTGCTATGACGAAGATCGTTCGCGTCGCTGTATTCCAGAGTTTGTGAATGCAGCGTTTGGAGCAACGGTAGAGACTTCTTCCACGTGCGGTGTAGCAAGACCGACACGTTATTGTGATGTTATTGAACAGACATCTAGTGGGGTGAGTGGATTGGGTCAGTGTCATACCTGCGATGATAGTACACCTCGAAGAAGATTTCCACCGAGTCACTTGACAGATCTTAACAATCCCAATAATGTAACCTGTTGGCGATCAGAGCCTCTGATATCATCTCAAAGCTTCAGCGCCCCACCGGACAACGTTACATTAACGCTATCTTTGGGTAAAAAATATGAACTCACATACGTGAGTCTTCAGTTCTGTCCAAAAGCTGCTAAACCAGACTCAATAGCTATATACAAATCAATGGATTACGGCATAACTTGGCAGCCATTTCAATTCTACTCTTCGCAGTGCAGAAGAGTGTACGGAAGGGCAAACCGTGCTACTATAACCAAGGCCAACGAGCAAGAAGCAAGATGCACCGATAGTCACAGATTTACTGGAGGGGAGGGTCCAGGTCCTATCGGACGAATAGCCTTCAGTACCCTAGAGGGTCGGCCATCAGCAGCTGATTTTGATAATTCGCCGGTACTCCAAGACTGGGTAACGGCCACTGACATTAGAGTAGTCTTTAATCGTCTCCACATGCCTCAACCTGAAATAACCAATGAGAATATCGGCATTGAGGAATTAACCAAGAGGGAGAGGGAGCGTGAGGAGAAAATGAAAAACAAGATTAATCTTCTGCATTTGGATCCCTCAGGCACGGCACTTCCATCTGTACATCAGGTACTTGCCCCCCAGGAAATGGTCAGCAATGATGCTCTTGACGTACAAGAAATGGCTTTTCATGCCGAAGTGACACCTACCACACTCATAATACCCAACAGTGCAACCAGCATGGCTCATCATTATGCTGTATCTGATTTTGCTGTTGGTGGTAGATGCAAGTGTAATGGACATGCATCCAAATGCTCCCAGGGCAAGGACGGTGCGCTCGCTTGTGAGTGCAAACATAATACTGCTGGTCGAGATTGCGAGAAATGTAAACCCTTCCACTTTGATAGACCCTGGGCTAGGGCCACCGCCAGAGACGCTAATGAGTGTAAAGGTCAGTGGAAAAACAATTATTCATCTTATCACAAGCTGTCTATCATCATTTTCCATTCTCATATTCAATACTCAATACTCAATACTCCCTCAAGGGGCTTTTCATAATTAATTTAAGAAAAAAAAAAACTCCTCGCCAAGCAGATAAACCTCAAGAGGAGGAAAATATATAGTAAATGGCTGACGTTGCTTCGACGACCTGTAGAGAACTAATTAATTGTCCAAAGCCTCTTTTATCATCATATTTATTCTTCCTGCTCGGCGGACACAGGAGAATAAAGAGGTCAAGATCGCCTCTCACCCAACACTCTTCCAATTTATTTTTTTCCCCCCCCGGTTTTTCCTCTTCTTCAGCTATTGATCGAAATCAATTAACTTTGCATCAACGCGAAAGAAATGAGAATTATTTTCGAATGAATATAAGAATACGTAAAAGGTGTTGAGAAAGAGAGTGAAAGCCTTGACTCGGGACACTATGGGCACGAAGAATACGGTGAAAAAGGAAACTCACATGGTTTTGTTTGTGTGGCAATGCCAGTGTTGGGGGTTTACTCACGATCGAGTCCACCCCCTTCATCCCCATTCACCCCTCCTTAATTCGACGCGGCGAACCGTGAGTCGTGAGCCGTGAGTATGTTCTCTAGGTATATACTGAAAGCTAAGGTATCCTTAGGGCTCTCTACAATCAAAAGCTTCTGAGGGTGCAAAACCACCCTCTCAAATCATTTCGAATCGATAAACAGTGAGTTCCTATATAAATTTGCCACTGACAGATTTTTGCGAGAAAATAATAAGGCGCTCCATAATACTAAATAAAACAGAAATTATGGCAATTTGGGGGATTATTATGACAAAGAAATATATAATGGCAGTTTTGATAACGATGTGATGAATCTACCACTCAAGAAGAATACAATAGAAAATGATTGTCCAATGAAAACATCAAGTGAACGTGAAAATAAATGACAACGAGAGTTTTTTTCTATAATTGAAGCGCCCACTGCTTGTCAACAAAACTGATCGGACACACGCATTTCAGATCAATGGGCGTTCCCCATCCTTCTTCAATGCGTATAACTGGCACTTTTCAATAGTCAACACCCCAAATCCATACAGCTCATCCTTCTATCAATTCAACCTAGAAAAGTGTTCATTTTTACACGCCAGCTGTTTTCTACGAATTTCCAAAACTAATATACATACGCTCATATGCCAACTATCAATTTCATAAAATTCTCTTACACATTACACAATTTATTTTACCATATAAAGTTATAAATTTTCTCTTCAATAGAAAATGGTGCTATACATTCTAAATAAATACGACGAATGGAATAAGAGAAAATTCTGTGAAAACGGGAAAAGCATTTACACCCAGTCGACGAATTAAATGACATTTTAATTTCGTGAATATTTTGGTGGGATTTCGCCTGGCCAAATATGCGTGGCAATTTCCATTTTAAATTGGATACTTTTTACTACTCTAAAGTCTGCACGAGCATCACTTTTTATCACCCCTTTTCATGTACTTTTAGCTATCCTTCAGAGAGGATAGACAAAACAAGGAAAAACCAAGAATGGTCGATAGAATCATGTGGGCGAAAATTTCTCCACCAGATGTTGATGTTGATCGGTTATAGGTATATACCTATGGTGGTGTTTGGAAAATCGGGCAGGTCTCTCTTTGGACGAGCCGATGAATTTCAATGGATATCTTTGGAAAAGAAGATAAGTGCTCGCCGACGAGTGATGGAAAAGCTTACAATTGAATCTGTCGGGTTTTTCTTTTGCCTTGGCGCGTTCCGATAGGTGACGAGAGAACGGTATAGAGAGAGGATGAGAGGTCGAGAAATCTATCGCAAGTCAAGTCATCAAATTCATATAAAATTCATTATAACAATCCTATAGTGTTGGAATTAAAGAGAAAATATGATTTCAATTCTGTTTTGTGAATACCAATGATGCCTTGGTAGTTTTTTAATTAAGCAATTATATACGGCCAGCGGGTGGGAGAGACATCGCGCTCTCCGTGTCGAACATGCTGGTTGATGAGCGACGGAACCAGTTAGTGGAAATAAAAGAAAATAAAATAAATACTAAGTTTCGGTTGAGTGGGACCTGTTATTTGCCCTGGTATATTTTAAAGATAAAAGTTTCAATGACTTTACCGAGAAATCTGCCGTCTTCTACCGTATACTTTCTCACATATCACCTTGTATAAAAATGTAGAACACTTGAATGAAAAAAAAAAAGAGCACTGGCAAGGAGTGTTACGAGGTGAAATGGGCAAAATCAGAGATCAAGTCACACCACACCAGAGTATAAATAAATTGGCTAAAGAGTAGCAGTCGCGGCTGCCACGCGGTCTGCCATGTCTGCATTCAGTTCTCCTCTCTCTCTCTCTCGCTCTCTCCGTTCCTACATTTTCCCTAGTATACATACTCACCTACATTATAACATGCTTACGAAGAAGGCATACAGAATAAATGCGCCAACTGCATATGCACAAGATGTGAAGGGAAAATGGTTGGAACGTCGCCCGGGGAGCCGTTTCATCCTCGACGCATTCACTCGACGGCAACACAGGTGCTTCCGTGCTCTATCTCTATCTCCACCTCTTTTATTCTCTCAATTAATCCTACACAGCCAAATTTATACTTTTAACCAACTTACAACATACCAACTTTGACGAGTTGTGCCCGCTTTTCAAAGAAACTACCTTTTTCTGCTTTATTAACCCATTATGACATATTAAATAGATCAGGAGATTAAAAAAACCCCCGGTTGTAAAAAACCACCGCTGAATCAAAGTCCAACTAGCCGGCCAGGTATAAAACTTGACCCACAGTAACTTGATGCGGGAGCAAGGAACCATTTGGATTAAAAAATCAAAATGAAGAAATCATTTGTATTATTAGAGTACTATTGACAAACCTAAGAGGCCAATTTGATAAACGAAAAAACATATAACTTATGGAGAAGAATAGAGTATGGAAAGTGACTGAAGCAATCAATTGCAAATAAAGACAAACAAGTAGGAATTCACGTCACGAAACTCGAGGAGACTACCCCGAGAAAACAACTAGCGCGGAACGCGCAGTGGTGAACCGCCTTTAGCAGACTTTGGAGTAGAGTTTCGACGTCTAACGTTATATATCGTTTCGGGATTCTCCATGTATTCGTATACTCTAGAGTTCTAAACACGGTAGGGTCGAATGTCGTATTGCCAGGTTAAAAGGGAGGGCGAGGGTTTGGCATTCCATTATGGCATGCACATGATGCAGTAATCATTGATATAAATTCACCTCATCAATTGAAAATTTCTTTTAATTTCTCTCTAACAAAACTCGTTATGTATCTCACGACAAACTTCCAATACTCATTTCGTCTTTTTATTCATCCTCTTTTATCATTTTATCATTTTTTTTTTATTAAATTTATTATTCGCTTTGTTAAAACTCGATGAAGAAACTCGACAACATGGGGTTCGTCCTCCTCCTGCATAACTAATAACGACCACACGCTCCTCAGACACAGAGGTATACCTTTCTCATTCCGTCGGTTCTTCTTTTCTTTTCTCCTGTCATTTCTATTTATTTGCTTATCGTTTGATATTCCCTCCGTTGTACACTAGCTGGAGAGATCTGATTCTCGGTCCCTTACTTATTTTTATTTCTTCGTCTAGAGGGTTCTCCCCACTTATCCATCTGTTTCGCTTTGCCACTTTTTCGTCGTATAATGATAATATATAGTGGAACATTTTCCCAGTAACACGAATATCCCTTTAATGCCGCTGCCAAACTTTCCTACTTGAAAGTTTCAGGGACTCTTTCAGGTGGTGAAGCAGAACGTAAAGGGAGGGAAAAAAAAATAAAACAGTCGGAAAAATGACAAAACAAATAAAGCAACATGAAAATTAAACAGAATCAAGGTCTGATCAACTTTGGGAACAAAAAAAAAGTAGATGATTCGGTGAATACTACAAGAAATAGAGAGCATCAATGCACGTCCAGCTGCACATATATCAACAGATCTGAAAACTCTAGAATGAAAAAGTCATTGAAGCGTACCTACACGCGAGGGGGCAAAATAAACATCATAACTCTCGATAAAGGACCCGCATGGACTTTTCATTTGAGAAGCAAAAGATTTATTTTTCCTGTCCAACACCGTACGCCGGTACGTGATGTTGAGAAACTTAACACACTTTGAATCTATGGTGGCACGAATTTATGGTGATTTGTTGAAAGTATGTAAAGTGTGTAACATGTAATGGTTGCTGACAAGACGATACATCGAGTCGTTCGATACGTCGATATCAGTGAACACTATTGTACATGACCTCTTCGAGGTCTATGGACTCTTATAGGTTGGAGTATTTGCATGGACTTTACAAGCTTCCTCCAATGGAAATTATTGGGAATCACGGCTTGTGAAACCCCGTAGGTTGCATTCAGCAACGAGGACAGGTGCAACGACTATCTCTTGATTCTTACAATGCTTCGACAAAACCATACGCCAAGCCAAATATTGCTACTTTTTATTCCAAATCAAAGTGCTCTCTCTCGTTCTCCCTTTTGCCAATTGCCAATTGCCAAATGATTTTTCATGAGAATGTTTTATTAATTATCACTGCCGAAACATTGATATTTCCAGTGAAATTAATGGGGTAATGAATAATTGGGCTTGCGGGCAGGCGCATTGTCATAGCTACCTTAACACATGTGTGAGAAAGAAGGTGTAGGCGTTGGCACGTAAAGTGCGTAAAGGGGAGAGACCACCCGTGGCAATGGTTATCGGCCCGTCACAACGCTATCTCCAAGACCACACCGTCGCCGATTCTACCATTTTTTTTTTACTTTTTTTTTCTCCCTTTCCATCTCCCTTCGACTCTCACATTTCATTTTCTCTCCTCGCAAGTACCCTCGCATCACGCGTTGCAACAATAATTTCCATGGAGTACACCATTATACCATTTTTTCATGCCTTTTTTATATTCCC